GAAAAAGCAATCAACTCAATTCAAACAGATAATGGGGTGACAACTTCTGACCCAAAGGAAATCAATAATTATTTTCTAGAATTTTACATTTCCTTGTATAGCTCTGAGTATTCAGATTCAGCTCCAAACCTACAAACATTTTTTGGGGAAAAACTAGAATTTACCCCCCTGAGTGGAGAAATTCTGGGCTCATTAGAGCTTGACCTCGGGACACAGGAACTGTCTGAGGCTATAAATAGCTTGAAAGGAGGAAAAAGTCCCGGACCTGATGGGATTCCAATTGAAATATATAAACTCTTTAAGTCCAAACTAATACCACCTCTGCTAGATATGTACCGAGAATCATTTGATAAAGGATCCCTTCCTCCCTCGCTTAACACTGCTGTTATTACATTACTACTTAAACCTGGAAAGCCTTCACTCAGTGTGGATCATACAGGCCAGTATCTCTTCTCAATGATTGTCATGTCCAGCTCAGGGTCTTAGGTTGTGTTTATTTCTATCTTGTTTTATTTTCTGTTTTGGGTCACTAATTTCTCCTCTCGTTTCAGATCCGTCACTTCCCGCCCTCATGTGTTTCCCACCTGTGTGATTGTCTGCCCCGCCCTGATTGTTCCCAGCTGCATCTCGTTGTCTTCCCTCTCACCCTACTATTTAGTCTGTAGCTTCCCTTCCTTTTGTGCCAGTTCGTCTTCGACCCCTGTGAGAAGCGTTCAAGCCTTTTGTTTCCCCTGTGATCGCTTTTTTGGATTGTATCTTCTTCAAAAGTAAAGACTGTTTTTTTTCCCCCATCAAAGACTGCGTCGTGAGTCGTGCTTTTGGGTTCACTTACCTGTGGTGTTGTGACAATGATGATCTTAAGATTTTATGTAAAGTACTAGCTAAGAGATTGGAGCTAATTCTACCAACAATTATTCACCCTGACCAGAATGGATTTGTGCAGGGGAGGCAGGGGTTTCACAACACAAGAAGAGTGCTAAACGTAGTTTCTGAGAAAACTAATGTCGAAGACAATGCTATTCTGTCTTTAGATGCGGAAAAGGCCTTTGACAGAATAGAATGGCAATGTCTTTCTGAAATTATGGAGAGGTTTGGTATTGGGGGTAAGTTTCTCAGATGGGTGCAGCTTCTCTACTCTAACACATAAGCTGAGATTTTAACTAACGGGTTTACATCAACCCCATTTAAGCTCAATAGAAGAGCAAGACAGGGCTGTCCCCTGTCTCCTCTTTTATTCACTCTGGCTATTGAGCCACTAGCCATGTTTGTTCGTAAACATATCAATATATCAGGAATAAAACTAGGAGATATCGAATTGCCCTGTATGCAGATGATGTAATTTTGTTTTGCTTAAACCTGCAACAAACTTTACCTGCCTTATTTGACTTGATACAAACCTTCAGTACATTTTCAGGATACAAAATAAATAATAATAAATCCATAATAATGTTTTTGGCAGAAAATTAAAGACTCAACCCCCCGATCAAAACAAGAATTTACTTACCTAGGTGTTAAAATCAAATTATAACCCCTTCACAGATTCAGTATTGCAGCTCCTTAACAGGTGGAACGAACTACCCATATCCTTGATTGGGCGCATAAACATTTTAAAAATGACAATTTTGCCTAAGTTTCTGTACCTTTTCCAAGCAATACCTCTTTCTCCACAACCCTCCTTTTAAAAAGCGTTTTCCAATTTTATCTGGAACAACAAACGCCCAAGACTTAGACTTTCCTTGTTATATTTGCCTTACGATAGGGGTGGACTGCAATTACCAAATCTTATGTGGTATTTCTGAGCAGCTCAAATTAGAGCAGCTATGTTCTATTTTGTTATGAATAACCCCCCATCATGGCTTATTATGGAATCCCAGTCAATTGCAATCCCCCTTGTATATTTACTCTGCAGATAGGAAAAAGTTAAACAAAAAACCCTTTCTTGAGGAACACTATAATGGTATGGTACAGTGCTCTTTTGCATCTGGGGGAGGGTAAATTTTACACCACTTCTTGGTAACTTTCGGCCAGGCAGGGCAGACTCTGGATTTAAATTCTGGGCTAGTAGGGGTGCAGTGAAAGTATCTGACCTTTACAAGGATAATAAATTAATGTCATTTCAGGAACTTCAAGCTACATACAACATTCCCAATAAGCACTTTTTCAAATATCTTCAGCTCAGAAGTTTTATAATGTCAAGGCAAAATAACAGCCTAGATCTTCCCCATCTATCTACCCTTGGGGGCATTATTTTAGATAATCTTGAGTCCAGGGGACAGGTGTCTTTACTGTATAACCTGTTCGTAGGTGCCTCTTAACCCTAAATTGTGTATTCTTAATATCTATCCTGATGATTTTGCACTTTCAAATAATGTCAAATATCTACTCAATGTTTGTTTCCTGGAGGCCAAGCGATGCATTGCTCATTCATGGAAGAAATGGACAACCTGTGGAGTCTCTCAGTGGTTGAACGGAATGACTCTCTTTCTTGCTCTTGAAAGGATAAGCTATTTCTCAGAAAACAAACTTGACAAGTTTTGGAAAGTATGGACTATTTTTTATAACTTAATGGAGGGTAATGACATACAAAATGAGGTTTGGACTGATGAACAGATCTGACTGTCAGTAGGGCTGCTATGTTTTTGTTTTTATTATTATTATTATTTATTTATTTTCCTTTACTTTTATTTCCTCTTTTTTAGTTTTGGTATTGTGTGTACTGTTTTGCTATGCACTGTTTATGCTTTACTATAAAAGACAATAAAGAGGTGGTTTAAAAAAAAAAAATCATCTATGATGTGACATTATAACTCTGCTGAGTGTCCAGGCTGAGTTAGAGTTCAGACGTCAGCTGTAGAAGCCTGAATGGACAGGTCAATGATTACCTCACATTACCTATTGTTTTTTTTGTTTTTTTTATATAGCAGTTATTAATCATTTTAAAGCTATTAATCTAATAGTTAACTTTTAACTGATCCAGAGCAAAATGTTGTGTCTGCTTTGTGTTTCAGTATCTTTTGTTGGTTATGTGCAGGTGACTGTTGCTTTCAAATAATAATGAAAACTACACTTCTTTCACTTCAAAATGAGTCTTACCATTAGGATTAAAGAATGTTTAGGAAGCGGAGTCCATTTTAGGCTAATATTTTTAATTCAGTAAGCCTAACAGATTTACACACAGAAATTATTTTTTCATTTAATTCATTCGTTTTTTTAATATCAATATTAAAGTGAATGCTCCTGAGCTGTCCCTGCTCAAGGGTACTCCAGTAGTGCTCAGGAAGTGGCATGTCTCCAGACCAATTTCCAGGCTTGGTCTGCAACAGGACTTGAACCGGTGACCCTCCAGTTCCCAACCCAAGTCCCTGCAGACTAAGCTACTGGGCTACAGTCCTGTAATTATCACAGTCAAGAAAATATTGAGTCAAGGCTGTGAGACAGTTTGCAGAGTCTGGAGATCTATAAACTATGTGTGCAAGTTTTACTTTTTAGTTAGTAACTTATTCCATACTTTGTTCTCTTTTTAATCTAAGATAACTTGATCTGCTGATCTGCAGTGCAGGATAGCCCTGGTCATAAACACACCAGCCAGAGAGCCTGCTGACGCTAATATGGTCAGTTCATAGGATCACATACTAGATAGAGGGATAGATACTTTATTAATCCAGAGGGAAATTCAAATGATGAATAATGAAGACATCCATATCTGATATGTCTAACAAGGTCCACTACAGATAAGCAAACATAATATAACAAGTTTGATGGAGATGTTTTCTTTTGTTATAATAAGCATAATTGAGATAATTGCAGTTGCAAATATATGCCATGAAGTGAATCCACCCTGTTTTATTTTAAAACCCCCTTTAAGATGTCAGGAATCCTGTCTGCTGGTTTTTTCACTTTTTGGCTCTTAATCACTTTTCTTTCTGTTGGGACTTTTGCACATTAACTAGAGAGCAGACTCCCTTGTTCTGTGCAAACTGGAGCATATGCACCTGCTGCTAGCAGTCCAGATAACCAAACCGACTGCTGTAGCGTTAGCAGGGCCTGAGGATCTTTAACTGCACGGAGGCACCTGAAGTTTTCATTACAGTCCATGTGGAAAAATTTCTTTCAGTTACTTTGATCCACTGCGTTCAGAGTCTGATAACCATTGTGCAATTGATGCTTCCTTTCAATCTGCACATAAAACACGTGTTGGAGTGTTTTTCTCAGCCTGCAGTACTGCCAAGGTCATATTTCCAGTCATTAGCCTGCCTTTTACTGTGTGCATAAATCACTGTGGTGTATCAGTAATAAGGAAGTTTAGCTGTTAAGAGGTCTGTTAAAGGCACTTTAGAAGTCATGTGGCTGTTAAGAGGTGCCTCCAGCATGTTCCTGTAATTCATGGTCTCATATTAACTCACATTTAACTTATGAATATCTTCTGTGACAGAGTTACTAGAGATAAGACATAATCAGTTATAAAACTCTAATGTGCCCAATATATAAGAGAATGGTTTCCCTCCTGTTATCAAAGCTCTCCTGATTATATCCTTTGCAAATATATCTGCTATGAAATTAATCATTCTTTATCAACTAATATTAATCTTGTCTTTCCTGTCATAGTAATGCACATTATAAACGGTAAGTGACCTTGAAACTTCTTCCGAGTAGCCATATTAGTTATGTTCTTTTCTGAACTTTTGCAAGGAGTTTTCCTCTATGATTCATGCAAAGAGGTCTTAGGAAATACTATCCACAGGCCCATAAACTGCAACCACAGAACAACATGTGCTGTTTCCCTGCACTTCGGACAATAATATTAGTAATCAATTCTCCAGAGCTCTTTCGTTCAGCTTTTATGACTTGGTTAATCAGTAAGCAATGCCTTTGTGTCCCCTAAGGATGGAGCAAGGACATATCTGACACCCCTGGTTCACTTTTCTGAGGGTTGATCTAGAGTGTTAGCCAATAGCAGGCAGCCAGGCTTTGACCCTAGGATGCAGGGTATAAAGGTAGGCCATCTAAGACAAACCCAGTTTACGCACAAGACGCTCAGAGGAGCAGAAGCCATCTCTATATATCTAATCCTAGCCTAGTTTATACGTCAATAAACAGGGATAACCACAACAGTGCATGCAGTGCTCTGCTGTTTTGAAACACTTAAGACCTGATGGAGAGGATCAAATCTAACGGAGGGGAGCATGTGAACCCCGCGTATGATGCCAACCTGGATGAACCTCCTGTCTATGAGGAGCACCGCACCATCAGGCCCTCTGTGGTCAGCGCCTTTGGTCATGACACACTGGACCGGGTACCAAACATTGACTTCTATCGTAATGCGGGCAGTGTGAGCGGTCACCGGGCTGTTCGACCATCCCTACAGGAGCTGCATGACGTGTTTCAGAAGGTAAACGCATTCATGTCTGTGAGAGACGGTCCTACTAATCCTCCTTACTTCTCTTATTTCTGGAGTTTTTTTCTGTAAGAAAAGGTCTGCATCCTCTTTTCTTAAAATATGAACCATGTTTGTCCTTCACTTAACCTTCTCTAAATTTTGACTCTGTAACTGTCAACTTTATTCTGCTCCTGATCTGCACTGTTTAAAGACTCACGAAAGTGAAAGCCTATTTTACAGTTGTTTAATCAGACAAACATCATCATTTCATTTTAAAATCTCCACCTCAAGACCTATGAAACTTAGAAGGACACCAAAAGTTATTTCTGGGACACAACAGTGCTCAACACATATGACACACTTTAGAGGTTTTAGTGCTTTTTATTGGGCCCTTATACTGCAGCAGGTTGCAAAAGAATTGGGGTTATAGGTCATTAGGATTTTATAGGTTGAAAAGATTTGCATTCAAGCAGTCTTCACCGGTAGAAAATGACTCTGAAATTATGGGTCTAGCTAATAAAGTGTGAATATGTAATGTAATAATGTAATAATCAGCATCTTGACATGACAAATAATTGTAAATTAACCAGAAAGATTAAATAGAGCAGACTTAATTTAATCTGCATTTAATGCAGAAATGTTTGACTATCTACACCTTCAAGAAATTAATGAATCTGGCACAAGTGACATGTTTCAATGGCTAAGATCGGAGCGACTTTATAAAACCATTTTCTGTGATCATAAACTTCTAGCAAATCCAACTTACAGGCTGAAAACCTTTTTTAATAAATGTGAATGAGCTCTCATTGACTTAAAGTTTATGGCAGCAGAGTCATTTCACAGTCATTATTCATCTTTATACAACAGTTAAATGTGATGTTGTTGTTCTCTCTATTCTTCAACTCTGACGACAGCATCAGACACAAAGCTGTGTAATGTCTAAATCAATGTTCATCTAAATCAGACCTCCATGGATTTTCTCCCTCTTTAAATTCTCTCTGGTGTATTTCAGAGACGACTGGAGGAAGCCAAACATACATTGATATATTCAAAAACAATGAAAGGAAAAAATCTAACTGACTGTCTACCAGTCTTAAAGGGTCACCCCTGCTATAAGATTTAGATCAATTGAAAAAAAAAAGGAGGACATTTTTTACCACAGAAAAATGTTTCTGAACACCTAAAAAGCTGAAAGTGCAATTATGAAAAAAAATTCAATGTTATATCCAGTCAAGTTGACATGTTTTTCTCTCTCTTTTATTCCCCTCTTCCTTTCCCCATCAGAATGGAGCTATATCAGTTCCAGACACTGTGGAGGATGATGATGAGGGCAGCAGCGGGACCCCCTCTGATGACCTGGAGTCCGCCATTCCCAACACCAAAGGAGCAGTAAAGTTTGGCTGGATAAGAGGAGTCCTGGTGAGTTATTTTGAGTCATGACGGCCTCCTGGTGCTTTATAGGAGCAGGGTCGCTCCTCATAACCGCAGCCCGGCAAGACGAGGCTCTGTGTGTCTCCATAACACAGTGGTGGCCAAGTGAAGGCACTTCTCACAAACTGGGAGTGATTTGCATTTTCTTAGGAGCTTCTGGTTGATCATTTGTGCTGCTGGCTTTGAGATAAAAAATACCCACTTTAAATGCTAAGTAGCAATAGCACCTTACATACACACATGCAGCACTAATCCCTACATAAGAACAAAGAGATGAAAAATAGGAATAAAAATTGCCAACAATAGATAACATGTAAGACTTAAAGGACCCCAACAGTAAAAACAATAACATTTTGGAAATCAATAAATAAAGTCAGTGAAATGTTAAATAAGACAAAATATTAAAAAAAACTTTTGCACATCCATTTCATGAGACAGGTGCGTAGGAGAGCAATGTGTCCATCAAAAAAGTAAAGGGAAACTCCCACACGCTGTCTTAACTTACAAACAAATATTTATAACATTTCGTTTCAGTCTCGTGCCGAAATGTTGCCAATAAATGTTTGTTTGTGAGTTAGACAGTGTGAGGAGTTTAGCTTTAAATAAGACAAAATAAACACCAGGGCTCATGATATTGAAGCAAAAGTGATACAAATGTTGACTTAGGTTATTACTTCCAATTTAAAGGAAATGTCCTTAATTTCCTTTTGTAAAAATACCAAAAGAGTTCAGGATGTTTTGATCTGTGTTTGAAATTGAAACATTTTTTAACATCTATATGTTACAGTTGGTATGATATTTAAAAGTAAAACACTGACCACATTGAAGACTATCAACTTCAACTTGTTTTACTTTTCCTCAGGTGAGATGCATGCTGAACATCTGGGGTGTCATGTTGTTCATTCGCGTGTCCTGGATTTTTGGTCAGGCAGGTTGGGGTGAGTGCGACTTCTAGCTTCCATCTTTCTTTCTTTTGGTACGTGCATTAAAATGTACAAGAGTTCAACCAGTTACATTTCCAGTATAGGTGTGCTATTTTTTAGCCACAACAGCTCCTCCATGTCTGGGCATAAAGAAATAAGGTTGCTGTTACCAGTAATTCCAGGGCCTCCGTGGACAATTACAGGATTATATATAGACCCCCCTGCTCATTAGAAAGGAGTGATTGAATCGGGCAAATTCGACTGAACAAGCCTCTCTGAGCTCCCATAATGATCTAAACCTGCGGAAAGTCTATTCTGAGAGCCAGGGCCTCTATGAGCAGTGCAGTACAGTGTGTGTGTGTGTGTGTGTGTGTGTGTGTGTGTGTGTGTGTCTAAGTGAGAGGGAAAGGGGAAATTGTGTGAATGGCTTCATGAGTGTGTTCATTGCTTAGGAATGTATTGATCGGCCGGGTATTTTGTTCAGGCTGCGTAACTAAATGGTTTTAAGAAGCAGAGAGAGCTGCAGGCAGAGGAGACGGCTGTAACTTACAACTTACTCCTCACAGACTTTGACTCTGTCTGAGTTTAAAGGTGACTGTGCAGAGGAGGGGTCCATGTCACAATCACAAAGTTTTATGACTGACTACTGAAAAAAAATACAACAGTTCATGTTGCTGCTGAAAAAAAAACTAGATTTAAGAGCTGTGATTTGTTTGCATTGCAGGTCTGGGAATTGTGATCATTGTTCTCAGCTGTGTGGTCACCACCGTCACCGGCCTTTCCATGTCGGCCATTTGCACTAACGGTGTGGTCAGAGGAGGTGAGAAAACGTGTCATCAATCCCCGCCTGAACACAACTTTCAGGCTGGAATTTTCCAGATAACAGCTAGTGAGACAACAGAGCCACAGCAGCTGCACCGATAGTTTAAACACTATTTATATGTGCATATAACCTGAGATGACCCACATTCATCATGACATAAAATCTTTTACTGAGACAATGAAATGACCAGGAGGACAGAGCGTGTAGATAAAGACACACGGCTCAATGTCACCTCTCGAGGCCTTTTCTTTGTTTTACAGCCTGCCTCACTTTTTCTGTCATTAAATCAATGAATCAGTGATGTGAGATTAATCATCCACTCTACTCTATGTATCTCATTTTCTCATTTTAGGAGGAGCATACTACTTGATATCTCGAAGTTTAGGACCAGAGTTCGGCGGCTCCATTGGCCTAATCTTTGCCTTTGCCAATGCGTTGGCTGTTGCCATGTATGTGGTGGGATTTGCTGAGACTGTGGTGGATCTGCTCAAGGTGTGTGGTGTTAGCATGGAGAGGTTTTTTTTTTTAAATCCTGGATATTAGATTATATACTTATCCATTCCTCTTTTGTCCAATCTTTCGAACTCAGGACTTCGATTCCATCATGGTGGATCCGTTAAATGACATCAGAATCATTGGCTGTATCACAGTTGTGTTGCTGTTGGGAATATCATTGGCTGGAATGGAATGGGAGGCCAAGGTGAGAGAAGATCAGTATTCTGCTGGTTTGCCAACCTCGTGTCCATCCATAAAAGTATTCAATTCTCTCTTGTCTTTGTCCCAATAGGCCCAGATTGTCCTACTCTTCATCCTGCTGGCCGCCATTGTGAATGTATTTGTAGGAACATTCATTCCTGCAACAGAGAGCAAAAAATCACAAGGCTTCTTCAATTATAACTGTAAGAAAACTTCATCAAATCAATGCTGGAAAACATTGAACTAAAAAGGTTATAAATGACATTTGAGTAATAGTAAAAGCACTGTTCAACGTATGTCCTTTTCCCCCTCTCTGTGTCTCTCACACCTTCTATTTCACAGCAAAAATCTTCTTAGAGAATTTCACTCCGGACTTCAGAGACGGAGAATCGTTCTTCTCCGTGTTCGCCATCTTTTTCCCAGCTGCAACCGGGATCCTGGCCGGAGCCAACATCTCTGGCGATTTGCGGGTAACTTTTTCAAACGGCTATCATTTAATAAGAATCATGCAAATTAATCATAAGCTGCACTGGAACATGCTGGGCTCTGTGTGAATCCTGGGATATATATTTGAGATATACTATATTGAGATTACTTCCATGGTCAGTATATTTTATGTAGAAACAATTAGAAGAGGTCAAAATACGGTAATCCATCAACACTTGTAGTATGAAGATCAACTTTATTAACAAATGCAGAAACAGTTTCCTTCATGCTTTCTGTTTTGACTGAACTTTTATTCAACCACTTGTGTGTTGTTGTTTCTTAACAGGATGCCCAGGCCGCCATACCTAAAGGTACCTTGCTGGCCATTCTTATAACCGGTGTCACCTACATGGGTGTGGCCCTGTGTGTCTGTAAGTACAACGACCAGTAGAATACAACTCAGATGACAAACTGTTTCTGTTGTTTAAAAAAATCCTCTCATCAAAGTCACTTGAGTTTCCCTTTACTTAAGAAGTTTAAGAATGTATAACACTGATGTGTTAGTATTTCTGCAAGGGCCAGTTGCCAAGCAATTAATCTGTTCTTCTCTCTGATTGGTCAGCTGCCACTGTTGTCCGTGATGCTACAGGGAACTTAACTGACGCCATCACCTCCGCGATACAGTGTAACGGTTCAATTGCATGTGAGCTGGGCTACGACTTCTCCTCCTGTGCAGAGGAGAGCTGCAACTATGGCTTAATGAACAATTTCCAGGTATACAGTCTTTTAGTCTCTAACTTTTAAGTTTAGAAGGGATGTTTTTCTGCAAACTCTAATGCTCTCCTGTACTTTTTCTCTGCTTCAGGTGATGACCATGGTCTCTGGGTATGGTCCTGTCATCATTGCTGGAACTTTTTCAGCCACACTTTCATCCGCCCTGGCTTCACTTGTCAGTGCTCCCAAAGTCTTCCAGGTCAGTTACATACTCACATTTTTCTAGAGCTAATGCAAAGTTTAGATTCATTTCAAGTTGAGATTAATCAAACTCTGTCTCTCCTCAGGCTCTGTGCCAAGACAACATCTACACAGCCCTGCACTTCTTTGCAAAGGGAGTTGGCAAGAACAACGAGCCGATTCGTGGCTACATCCTCACGTTCATTATCTCTGTAGCCTTCATTCTCATTGGTCAGTCTGATTGTCTACCATGGCAAGGCCATAGCAGCACAACCTCTTATGCATTATTGAGTTTAGGCTTCAATTTAAAAAAAATACCTGTTTAATGATGTCCAACAAAAGAAACTTACTAAAACTTTCATGCACTTTTTTGTCTCTGTAGGAAATCTCAACACCATCGCTCCTATCATCTCAAACTTCTTCCTGGCATCTTACGCGCTTATCAATTTCTCCTGCTTCCATGCGTCCTATGCAAGGTCCCCAGGTGGGTGTCTAAAGAGTTGAAAGGCATCCACTGATACCAAAGTTGTTGTTTTTTTCACAGAGGCGACTTTTGACTACTTTGACAGTTAGTTAATATGCACTTTCTTCTATCTCAGGTTGGCGACCAGCATACAAATTCTACAACATGTGGCTCTCCCTGCTGGGCGCTCTGCTCTGCTGTGCTGTTATGTTTGTCATCAACTGGTGGGCTGCTCTCCTCACATACGCCATTGAAATCCTCCTCTACGTCTACGTCACAGTCAAGAAGCCAGGTGACTGCAATCTGCCTGTTCACATTTCTTTGCTTGTTTGTAAGTGCATCCATTACTCCTGCATCATAGCACTAATCTGTTCTTTTCCTCTCTTCAGATGTGAACTGGGGTTCGTCGACGCAGGCGGTGACATTTGTGAGCGCGGTCAACAACGCTCTGTCTCTCTCTGGTGTTGATGATCACGTCAAGAACTTCAGGTAAGAGTCTGCATTGCATCGATGTATTTGGAAGCAATACAACTTGTGCTTAACATAGTGAGAAAAAAAAAGAAGCTTAAAGGGCATTCAACATGTTCTTGTTTTTGTCTCAGGCCTCAGATCTTAACACTGACAGGCTCAGCACGGACCAGGCCAGCTCTCCTGGACCTGGCTCACTCCTTCTCAAAGAACTATGGACTCTGTCTAATCTGTGAAGTCATTGTGGTAAGGTTATGTTCTAATGCAATACTTGAATATGCATAAACAATGGAAATGACCATGGCAGCACATATTGTTTATCCCAAACCTTTATTTAAATTTCAACCTTCTATTCAAATCAAGATTTGCACATCAAGCCAATTTGAATTGTGCAGAGTGCAGACTGCAAGCGAATATCAAGCAGGGAGGAGGGAAATGCCAACTGTCTGTACAACTGCTGTTTGTTGTTATCTCTGCAGGGTCCGAGATCAGAGGCCCTCAATGAGATGAACGCTGGTATGGAGAGGAACCAACAGTGGCTGAGGAAGACCAAACGTCAGGCATTTTATGCTGCTGTGGCCTGTGACCACTTCAGGGAAGGGACTGTGAGCCTTCTGCAGGTCAGTGTGGTCATGATCTTTAACAAACAAAAAAACAAAACAACAGTCAACCAAGAAAAATCCATTTGATTAATGTGTAACTTGCATGTTTAAGAAGTGAGATTCAAGCTAAACAAAAAAACAGGTTTTATTGTCGTGTTCCCTCCTCATAAAACTGAGTATCTATTGCTGTGTTATGACTCAGGCCTGGACTTGTGTTTAGGATCCAGACATGACTTTAGTGCAGAAGGATGAAGAGGGTAGAGTTAATGAGGAGAAGGAACAGTCTTATTGCTCTGGCTATCGCACTTTCGAGATAAGGCGTCGGTTCATTGTCAGGATTGCTTACTTCAAACAGCGTGGCAGATTAAAAGCCATAATTGATTAACACTGTCGGGATGAGTCCCTGCAGACAAAGTGAGATCGGCTGAGTGATTGGGTCATAACTTCTGGCTGTAAAACAGCTTTACAGCCTTCTTGTCTTTGACACTCTGAAACTTCTTGAGATTTTTTTTTTTTTTTTCAGAGGTTTTACAACTGCAGGGCAACATGGTGTCTGTGTGTGTTTTTTCTTCAGTTAACTGATTATGTGTTTTTATCTTTATGCAATAAATAATTGTCATGCTTCTCCTTACAGGCTTCTGGTCTTGGGCGCATGAAGCCAAACACATTGATGTTAGGATTCAAGAGGAATTGGAGGAATTCCGGCACAGAGGAAGTGCAGAGTTATGTGGGAATACTGCAGTAAGTCACAAATAAAAACACACTTCAGCACATATAACAGTAACTTAACCAATGATTAAACACAGAGATGAGGTTTGTGTGTGGAAGTGGTGTCCTGATTTTTGTTCTCCTTTGACAGTGATGCGTTTGACTTTGAATACGGGGCATTGATGCTGAGAATGGACGAGGGACTGGATGTGTCGCACATTGTCGAGGCAGAAGGTCAGTACATATCCTCTTTAGACCGCCTGCTTTAATCCACAGGGACAACTGCATCAGTATAACTACAAACAATTTTATATTTAAAAAAAAAAGAAGCAAACTACACTTGAAAGGTGAATTAATAAACAGAAAACACTGATGCTCAATATCATAAAAATAGGATGCAGGATGTGTACAATCATGTTATTGTATTTTAAGAACTTGTGAGCTGTAGTGATGTTATCCCTTTGATGATGTCCTGTATTTATATTTCTCATATGGACCTATGGGTCTGAAATAAAGTAAAGATATACTCCTTAAAAATTATACAACAAACACAGAAAATGACATTTGTATGAGTATTTATAAAATACAGAGATGTAGTGTCTCAGGTCTGGTTTGATATACTTTAGAACTTTTTTAAATCAAGAATTTAATAACTAATTATTCCTAAAAAGCTGCATTCATCCTTCAATGGGTTAATTTTTATTCTCACAACAACCTGCAGTCCCTGATAATAAAATAACAGTGATAAGTCAGGGCACTTTGTTCTGTAGATTACTTAGTATTTATAATGTTCGGACAGTGGACAGATAAGATACAAAACAATTATCAGATGATAGCTGTGCCCTGTAGAAATCTTTACTGTAACAAAGGTAACACACAATAATGACACACACGTTCATAACAACTACATTTGAATGTGAACATGGAGAATCTACTTCTGTGTGTCTTTCAGATGAGATGCTAAAGGCAGAGAAGGAGCAACGAGTGCTGGATAAAGAAATGATGCAGAACGGGAGGAAATCAAAAGGACTCTTCAGGAAGTCCAGGAACTCATCTCAACAAGTGCTCACAACCAGAGGTATCCATCTCAAAATCTCCAATTTCAATCCACTTTTTTTTTGAAGTCATGATTGCATTAAGAGATCTTTAAATATAAGTAAAAATAAGTCTCCCCTGCACACACTCATATTTCCACTGAGCATACATTTAGCAAATAACACGTTGTTCTTTTGGAGACTTCTCTACACTTCAATTGAGAAATAATTGAATCAAGTGCTCCAACTAAAGATGTCTGTGAGGGAGTAATCCAATAATACGGTCCCTTTGGTTCCAGTTTGAAGAGCATCTCTTAAGAGCAGCCGTTTCACCCAGACAGCAGAGGGTGCAGGCAGCCGCTCGCTCGATCCGTCTCTGTCGCCTAAATCACACACACTCAAACACGCGCGCACACACACACACACACACACACACTACACTGAGCTGCATCTTGGCAAGGCTGGGCTTGTCGTTAGTATGCAATCTGGGTGGCACTCATTGGAACATTAAACCTGAAAGATGGCTGTTCCTGCTGATGTAGGCTCAGCTCTTAATGTTGATTAGCGCTAGTTTTCCCATCCAACTTAACTCTCTGCACTCGTTCACTGATTTACATTCCGTCCTACGGTGCCCCTCCCTCCTCCACATCTCATTTCTTGTATCTTATTCTCTCTCCTACAGTGTCAGTGTGCGCCCCTCCGCCCCTGCAGATGGCCAAGATGAATGAGAGGCTGGTGGAGGCCAGCAAGCAGTTCAAGAAGAAACAGCCTAAAGGCACCATTGATGTGTGGTGGCTGTTTGATGACGGAGGTAAGTGCTGGTTCTCTGAAGCGGTCTTATCTGGTGACCTCCCAAAAGTTGTAATAGATACGATCACAGAAACACAGCAAGTTCTTCTTAATACAGACAGAGTAATAAACAACACCTCAGCATTCACATAAAAAACTTAGAAAAAGGAAAGAACAACACATACTGAACAGTTCCTCAGAAAAGACAACATTCAAATTGATGATCATTTAATGAGGATGAATTTAGATAGAACCATGAGATTAAATGGCAAGTCAGTTAATTCTTATCTTATTAATAAAGCCCAAAATATAATGACCAAAATAACCAATCCAAGTTTGTATTCAGAGGTTTTACAATCTCCACAGCCTGGACACATTCTGTCCTTAGATTCTCAGTTCAGTTAAGGTGAATCTTCCTTTAAAAACAACAGCCTTATAACACAAGGAAAAAGAGGAAGAAACGACTTGGTAATTCTCTAGTTAGTGTTTTAGATCTGCTTGAAAACAGAAATAAAAAAGCTACCAAGTACCAAAAAAAGGATCACCTTTGCAAAAATGAAATGCAAAGATTCATGTTTTGTATAATCAAACCCGCTGCATTCATTTAACCACATGTTGTGTACCTCCCCTCTGTCAGGTCTCACTCTGTTGCTCCCCTACATCCTCACCACCAGGAAGAAGTGGAAGGACTGTAAATTAAGGATCTTCATTGCAGGGCAGCCTGGACAATCTGAGAAAGATAAACAGGAGTGAGTAAAAAAACGAAAAAGTAATCAGCTAATCACATCCATTAGTCAAAGTTATTTCCCGGTAATAGAACATTATCTCCAGCATTCATATTAAAGTTATTCACTTTGTTATCATCTGTCGTGCAGGATGAAATCCCTGCTCCATAAATTCAGAATTAACTGCACCGACATCAATGTTATTGATGACATCCATATCCAGCCCCGCTCGGAAAGGTAACTGAGTTTGTATTCTTTACAGAAGACCACACAGTGACAGTAAAATGTAATCTCCTCCTGACTGCCTATTACCATTAAAAAAGAAGTCAGCTCATGTTCTTATCTGCTTTCCTCCAGCTTGAAGAAGTTACATGACATGATCGAGCCGTTCCGTCTGCGTGAGGGCTCCAAAGACTACGCTGAGGCTGAGGCCATGAAGAGAGAGCACCCCGGGAAAATCTCTGACGAAGAGCTGAGCAGCTTTGAGGAGAAGGTGACAACACTGACACTGAATTAACACTTCAAATACAGCAGTAGACCTTTCGATGTATGAGTTCGGTGTTGAAGTTTTACAGCAAAATGAGGTTGAAGCTCATTCTTAAAAACTGAATGCTGCCTGTTTACAGACAAACCTCCAGGTACGACTGAATGAGGTGCTTCAGGAAAACTCCAAATCAGCCAATCTCATCATTGTGTAAGTATAAACAACTCGTGCCTGGATGATACTGCATGTGGAGAGGACAGTGTCTGACATAGTCTTTGTAAACTTCCTGCAGGAGCATGCCCATCGCTCGTAAAGGGTCTGTCTCTGATTTCCTCTACATGGCCTGGCTGGACATACTGACTAAGGACCTTCCACCAACCCTTCTCATCAGAGGAAACCACAAGAGTGTGCTCACTTTCTACTCCTGAGCACCCTGCAGGCTAAACATAGGAGACAGGTAGTTATAGTGGAAAAAATGGTAGTGCCATATTGTCGGACAGTGGTCATAAAGAGTGCAAGGACCTTTGGTGCAAGAACAACAAAGTGTAACACGAGCAAATATAGTTCTTTCTGCGGAGGGGGCATTTCATTCCAAGTGTCAAAAAAAAACAAATGCAAGAAATACCTAAAAGGGAAAAATGCAAAAAAAGAAGTCGGCTGGCAAATTTGACAGTTGCAATAAGACCTTTTTTTCAGTCACAGTCTGTGTGTATTTGACCATTAACATGTTTGTATTTTTTTTAATGTATAACTTTAAACTGCTTAGCTGCACTCAACGCTTTTCATAAATGCTTTGAATGAGGAACAAGACCCGTCTAAGAAGGAAAAATTGCTTTTCTGATATTGAAGTGCAAATGTCAGACATTCTGAATGTGAATGGAGGAACGTGGACAAAGTTTAAGCTCTTTGCAACAATGCGCTAGTATGGAAAATATGGTGAGATACTCAGATTGTCCTATGACAAGAACAATAACAAAAGCACTTCATTTTGGGTTTAGAACAAAGTCAAATCAAACATCTTCCTAGCTTGGTCAGATCAGTACAATAAACAAAGGCAGATATACAAGTGTGCTCTCAATAGTTACACTGAATGACTACATTGCCTGCTGCTGTGATTGTAAAATAAATGTACATAGTAGAAGACTGAATTCACCAGTGGATACTTTTCAAGCAAATAACCCTTTCATAAATGATCAGCATCTATTTTATTAAAATATAGTACAAATTATATTTTTTAAACATTCTTTGATACTCACTAAGTATAAAATATGCACACTGTTATAAAAAAGCTGTTTACCTGTCCTACGCTATACTTTGAAGATATGTTTCATGTTATTATCACAGCACACTTTTGGTTTAAGGAAAATTGAGTAAAATTAAAGACTGTAAAGCCAATTATTCTGTATATGTTTTGCCTTATGTCTGACTTTATATTTAAATATATAATTGTGATTACCCGAAAATAAAGACTTTAAGTTGCTTTATTTTTTTGTTTCTGTTATTATTAAGTGATTATATTACATTTACAAGGGACTTTAAAAATCAAGGCACTGTTCTCTTATGGCCATTTTAGATCTTTAATTATTAACGCCTTTACTTCTGATTGCACGTTTTAATTGATTCTGTTTTTATTATCTGTTTGTTGGTTTTAAAATGATTTTGTTTATCTATGATGTGTGTATATATATATATGTGTTTATGTATACAGTATATGCATATGCTTATGTGTATGTGTACATATATATGTATATGTATGTTTGTTATTTTTCATTGTTTATCCTGCTCGACGTCATTGTAAATGAGGGCTATGCTCGCAATGATTTTCGAGTGTAAATAAATAAATAATAATAATATTGTTTTAGCTATATGATGCTTGCAGTAACAACTTATCACACTGAATACATTTATGAGAAATTAAACTTAAAGCCCATGCACCTTGAACGTTTTAACAAGCCAGCAATGTGTGTGATATGTCATACTAGCGACATCAACAAAGAAGTACTGAATAATTTTCCTCTTTAAAAAGTGCAAGGTTTGTTTAAATTTGGTTGTTTTTTTTTTTTAGTATTTTTGACATTAATTCTGAACACACATATTTTTTGATTTCATAAATAAGAACTTTAAACATCAGAAGTCATACATAAAGTCTTGAATATTATCATAATGAGCATATATGGCAAACATCCTGAATGCCAATGCCAAAGTATTTCCTATGGAGGGCAGCAATGGATCAAAGACTCAGACTCTCTAATCTCATATGATAACAGTTTGAGACACATTTAAATTGATTTTTCAGCCAAATTGTATCATTAAGTACTGAATATCAGACATTTAGATTCGCTATATTTATTTTCAAGTGAATATTTGATGTTGATCACTGGAGGTTTATTAAAGAGTGAGGAGCTGTCTGGCAGCAGGAGGAGGAAGTGCTGCAGAAAATCAGCTGCAGAGCATGTAAAGCCCAGTTAGCAGCATTTAGCTCACAGACGAGGTTAGGAAACAACATGACCCGACTGCTGCCACGCCTAAGGGATCTTTACCTGCACGGCTCGTTATTGTGTGACGTTGCGCCACGTTTCTTAGGGAGGGAACTTCATGTTCAGACGCTCAATCAAAACAAAGGCAAGCTAGAAATCCGGTTTCATACCGCTATCATTAGCAATGTGTCAAGGGCTTATTGACGTTAGCTTTGCTAGCATGCCTAGCATCACATTACAGAACGCTTCTGTTTGAGCATGTTTGCGTTACATGTTATCTTTGAACGAGTAAACACCACCAACGCCACGTCCGCTTTATTCTGTCGCAATGCGTAAGTAAAATGATGCTTTGTCTTCTCCAAAATGCTGTGTTGTTGTTGCTGTGCTTTAGTTTGATAGTTTTCTGTCAGCTGTTTTTGTCAGGGAGTATCGCGAGAACTTGTGGACGCTGCTACCATAGCGTCGCTATTGCGGGGTCGTCATGGTTGCAGATCATACATTATTATGAATGTGATAATGATACTTTTTTTTTTCTGCCAGTGGTAGTCGTAATGAAATGTTTGTAGAAACTCATATAGGCTTTAGTTTCACTGGGATTTGTGACGTATTATAAATAAGCGACCTGTCTCTTTAAATGGTGTGGGGTTTTTTTTTTTAACGGGGCGGGGCTTAGTTGGCGCAACTTCTAGCGCGGGAAATTCCGTTTCAAATAGTAAAACCGGGAAGACGCTTGAGCAGAAGCTAAGAAATTTTTTTTTACCATCGCCGTAGTTTGCCTTAGTTCTGTCTCCTGGTTAGCTTGTAGTTTGTCTTTAGTCCATTTTAATCATTTTCGGAGCTTTCTGTTTTTCTTCCAACATGCCTGCTCTAGAAGTGACGGATGCCTCTGCAATCTCTCCATCCAAGAGACCAAAGACAGAAACAAAGCCTGCAGTAGAAAGACCTGTCCTCAGATTTGCAAAGCTGTCTGAGCATGCAACGAAACCAACCAGAGGATCATCAAAAGCAGCTGGATATGACCTTTACAGGTTAGATGTTCCTTGAATTAAAATTATATTTGGGTTTACAGACATTGCAGGGTGCATCACTTAAAAAAAAAAAAAAGTGACTATAAAGTTCGTCCAGTAAACAGAAATTGTAACAAGCAGTCGTAAAAGTGTGGAAATTCTGGACAATGTTGTGTAATATTTTAGTTTTTACATGTAAGCTAACCTTCACTAGATATTCAATCCACTTGGCATGCATGACCGAGTGTGAATATCTGTTATGTGAATATAAAGCCATGTAAATCAGATGACCTTAACATTCTGAATATTAACAGTGCTTATGACTACTCCATTGGTCCTCTGGATAAGGCCATTGTAAAGACAGACATCCAGATAGCAGTTCCCCATGGCTGCTATGGGAGAGTGGGTAAGTGTTTAAAAAGAATCTGATGCAACCCTCCATTTTAAGTATAACCTGTTTGTCTTCCTGTGTTTCCTCAGTCATGTGCATGGTGTATTTAAAGAATCTCATGCTGGTAAAATTGAGTTGCACCTACTGCAGAAGAACTCATCTGACTGGTTTGTTCTTTTTTTTTTTTGTTGTCCTTCCCAGCACCAAGGTCTGGTCTGGCAGTGAAAAACTTCATTGATGTTGGTGGTGAGTTTCTACCTACCATGACCTACTTACCACGAAAAACTATTAAAGTAGATCATGTTTTAACCCTTGCCGTGCCGGTGATTTGAACTGCTGCAATTTCTCTGCATGTTCTCCTCAGCTGGGGTTGTAGATGAAGACTACAGAGGAAATGTTGGAGTTGTTCTCTTTAACTTCAGCAAGGAAACATTTGAGGGTGAGTATTTGCATCAGTGAAACAATCATCAGCTTTTCATCAAGGCGATATGTAGCCCATAGAATCATCAATCATCATCAACTGCAAAGAGATGATGGATTCTTTTCATTTTAGGAGAGCACAAAACTGGCTGAAAGTCAATGTACAACTACTGTGTTGGATGTTGTTTTTACCTCTACATTTATGGTTTGGCATGATAACCATTTAAGTATTTAGCTATGCACTTTTTTTGTTTAGCATTGCATCGTGTACAGGGGTCTTAATAGCCAGTCAGGCGGATCTTGGACTCTGTGTGAAGTACAACAATTAAAAAGTGCAGTTCACAAATTTTATTTCTCCCCTTCTGATTCACCCTTTTAGTGAAAAAAGGCGACAGAATTGCTCAGCTGGTTTGTGAGAGGATCTGCTACCCAGATCTGGAGGAGCTTGAGGTAAATTGCATCCATTAAATTACAACAGTTTATTGGCCACCTTGCCAACAACACTGCAGGTTAATACTAGTCCGTTTATAACACAAACTAATGGAGTTTTTTTAGGTAACTTTATAATCACTTGTCAAGATGTGGCGATTTTTAAGTGCATTTTTAAGACAGATGATTGTTTGAATTTTGTTCAAACCTTTGTACATTAATGAGGCCAGGCGGCAAAGTTAGGTGTGCTAGTTGTACCTCATAAACTTGCATCATGTGTAATTGTACCTGTTAAATACTTTTCATGAACATTGTCAGATGTTTCCATTGGTCGAGCTGCTGTTAGTTTTATTCCATGTCATAAATTAAATCAAAATCTGCATGCCTGTGTGTTCTTTCAGACACTTGATGAGACCGAGCGTGGTGCTGGAGGTTTTGGATCAACTGGAAGAAACTAAAAGTCCATTTTGTTGTGCTGTATATGTTGAAAGTATATTGATCAGTTTAAATAAAGTTAATTGTTTTGTACTTTTGAGAGTTTTTACTGGAATGTATCAGTCCCACATCTGATTAACCTTTTTTTTTTTTAATCTGAGCCTGCTCAAAGTTTTTTTTTTTTTTTAAATAAATAAAGTGACTCAAATAGCCACAAGGTGGCACTGCAGGACAACAAAACATTTAAGCCCAGTGAATCAAATTTCACAAGTAGACCTCGGCACTAACAGTGTCAGGGTAATGTGTGTTTCTGTTACTAAAACAGAATCATATTTTACTGTTGAACACAGGACTGAAAATGGTGATCCAACAAGAAGCAAACATTATATAATTCAATCTGGATTTAAAGAGCAGTGAATACATAAACACCAAAAATATGTTTTTATTGTGAATGTACAACTAAACCCTCACTGATGTGAACAGAGAACACAGACTGGTGTCAGGCAGGTCTGTGGCAATGCAGCACTGATTGTACTTGTGAGAGAATGTGTGGCCACAAAGACCTCAGTGCATAATCATGAAGGCCCAGGTTTGGCATCATCAATGTGTGTTTTGTGTGTGTGTGCAGGTGTGTGTATGTATACAGTTTACAAAGGAAGTAGTTGGTCATTATAAGCACCATTACAAACCCCTCTTTTCCAGGGGCTTCCTAGAGTTTACAAATGCTTCATAGATTAAAAGTGGCATTGATTATTACAGTATAAACACAATTTACATGTACTATAGAGGAGAGCGCTCAGGCGATGAAGCTAGCTGTTACTGTTGCAAAGACGTGACATCTTCAGAATGGCCGATGGGATTGTATCTTGTTGACTACAGAGTTTTGTATAGTAGTACAGTGCATTCAGAAGTCTATGTGGTCGTGTTGCTAGCACCAGTAAATATGAAATATTCTAGTCAGTAGAAAAGATGGAAAAGCATAGTTAAATATGCAGTAGGAGTCATTCAAGCTCAGACATGGCTGCATCTCAATAGTCCATAGTGGGTTCCTTTCCTCTCCTTAGCATTTGTATACCTTTTTTTTGTTTTTTTTCTTCAAATTTTCACTCCATAAATTAACATCTGGGGAAGGAAAAATGAGCTGACTTTCATTGATCCAGGTTTGTGCAGTCATTCACCTGAGGGGAGGAAATGAATTTATTTAGACTATTAGGACCTACCCTTTTATTCCACCTACATTGAGTTCTAAAAAAAACAAACCATTTTTTAGAGCTTCCTGCAGTCCTCATGCCCTTCAAAGTGGCACCTGATTCCACATATCATCGTACAACATTAAACCCTACATTAAAAAGCCATTCACACTCTAAATAGTGCTTCCCACCGCTCATGTCGCGTGTCAGGACTCTTCATTTGACTGAAATCTTTCATACTGCCCCACTCAGCTGGCATTTGCCCAGAACTTGTATCTATGATATGTAGAATCATCTTTGGCAATCAAATGATGCAGTCCCTCCCCCCGTCCCCTTGTCTCTTTGGTGGCGAGCTCTTCTCCTTGTAGGAGCAAGTAGGAGTCACCTCAAACCACTGATCCAGAGTCAGAGATGTTTTGCCTCTGGGGAAGTGTGAGCCTGACGTTGGATCAGCAGCTAATGGCAACATCTGCCCGCCTCAGTCTTGTGACGGTTAATGGAGGATGATCTGCACCCTCATCTTCAGTACGTCTCCCAGCTGTCCTGTGAGGTAGTCTTTATCGTGTTGGTCCTCCAGCTCAGCCAGCTCCTTCTTCCTGTAGAGAGGCATGCTGCTGATCTGTAGGAAGTATGCCCCGGGTGGGAGGGCCTTCTTCTTGTTCAGATGGAGGAAGCTGACGCCCTCTCTCTGGTTGATCTTGAAGTAGCCTTCATCGTTCCCGTAGTCGATGTTGTAGCGCACATGGTCCTCGAGGGTGGATAAGGCAGGGGTGAACTCCAGGATGTGATCACGGGTACTCAGGTCGCTGACGTTCAGGTGGAACTGGAGGGTGTCCTCGATGTCCACGCTGGCCAGGCTGACCCTCTCCTCGGTCAGCTACAGAAAGAAAAAATGGTCCAAATGAGTTCATTTAATATCAAGACCCACGACCAACAACAGTACACTATGTTTCTATCAAGAAAAGGCAATGGGACAAGTTTAAAAAAAAAAAAAGGTTCTCTAGGGGTTCTGGTGGCGCTGTGGTTACTGCGTGTGGTTAAACTCAACGAGGGCCGTCCCATATTGAAAAGGAGGTCTCAAACAAACTTTACATCAACCTATTAACAGGCAGAGAGGTGGAGCTGAGGCGGCATTTTAAAATGTTTAATCCATTACCCAACAGGACGATCTAAATATGCTAACATATGATCTTCCCAGGCTACAAGGAATAAAATACCAGGAGCTACATGCTGTAGTCTTTACTTGTTAGTGATTTTTGTTGGCCTAACTGACATATACCAACAATTTGGGCCAAAATGACTTATATAAACCAATAATAAACCTAACTTAGTCTCAGTTTTACTTAATGCTAAGTTGTTGAAACCCTCAAGTTGCCTTAAAAAGGACCTGAAAGCGCATTCATCAGTTGCCCCAGCGCTGCATACTGTACCTGCAGGTCTTCCTGAGGATCCTCCTGTGTTGAGCCTGCACTGCGACGTTTACGTCCCTTCTTGGGATACCCATTGATCTTACACTCATAGCAGGCCTCAGGAGAAAGGGAATTCTCGTCCTCTTCACCTCCCTCTCCAGGGGTGGAGCCGCTACTCGTAAAGCCCAAACCTGTGACACAGTGCCTGAAAACAAAGACGGGGTCATCAGTCGACTGGAAAAATCGCCACATAGTTTTCAAACAGATATTCACTGATGTACCCTTGTCCAGCGCGGAAGTATCCTGTCGGACATCCACAGAGGTAGCCCCCGTCTGTGTTGGAGCAGCCAAACTTGCAGGGGTTCTGGCTGGTGGAGCACTCATTGACATCGCTGCAGCCTCCGTTCGTCTGCTCGTAGTTGAAGCCGGTGGGGCAGAGGCAGCGGAAGCTCCCCAGGGTGTTGTGGCATGATGCTCCACCGCAGATCTGGCTGTTCGAGCACTCGTTCTCATCTGGGTGGCAGGAAGTTGACAGGAAGTAAACAAACAAGGGGTCATTCCAGTTAAAGGACACAAACAATACTGGGAAAGTCTGACAGGATTGTTGTAAATAAGTTCAGGGCTTGGAGGAAAAACAGGCTTATCAAACAAACATTTATTTTGGGGGTATCCAAAGGGGAACACTGAAATGAACCAACTTCTTGTCCATGTTTAAGTTAATTTTATAATTTACATGACCAATAGATTTAAATATAGCACCTTCCTCCTGTTTTTCAATTTTCACTACTTTATTATGCCACTGGAGCGAGATATTTCCATAATAATAATAATACATTAGACTTTTAAAGCACTTTTCTGACAAACAACAAAAGCAATGGGCATGTTAAGGCGATGTTAAAAAGGTGAGTTTTAAAGGGTTTCTTGAAGGTGGACAGTGTCTCTGATGTTTTTGGAAGTCAGTTCCAGAGGGTGGGAGCGGCAAAGGAGAAGACCCCTATCCCCTCTGCGGACCTTTGGTCAGTCCATTAGCCTCTTATATCTCTTTTGTTGCCCTCAAAGTTCCTGTTTTTGTCTGTTTTCATTCATTAAGAGTGCATACATAGTATCATAAACAACGTTGATGTCTTTCAGGGTTTAAAGGAAGATATCAGACATTTATTTTTAACATATCATTTCCTTTTCCCATGACCTTACCACAAGAAGGGAAGGGTTGAACTTTCATTGAAAAGGAAAAACACGTTGGACATATTTATATTTAAAGAGTGGCAGGAAAGAGATGAGGGATGAATTACTTGTTTAAAAAAAAAAAAAGGTCTGCAGGCCAAGCTGAAGCCCAGAGAATCAAGCCTGCATGGTACATACTTTGTGGGCCAAGTCACCAGGATGCTCCTAAAGGAAAGAATTTTTATATTTGCTGATAAAAAGAGCAGTGGTGGTATGACTCACCCACACACTGGTTCCACTGGTAGTGCTGAAGGTAGCCTTGTGGACAGCTGCACCTGTATCCGCCCACCAGGTTCTGACAGCCATGCTGACACCTGTGGTTTCCATCACACTCGTCCGTATCTGTCAGAGACGAACACACAGAACTACTGTTAGAGAGAGATTGTTTCTGTATTGAACGAGCTGATAATGTGTTACGGATGAATTGTTTGCAGACCTTCACAGGTTTGTGCGTTTGGATCTAATGAGAATCCCCGCTGGCAGTCGCAATTGAAGCTTCCCGGAGTGTTCTGGCAGACACCGTTGGAGCCGCACAGATTGGGGTCCGATGCACATTCATTGTTGTCTACACAGAGAGGAGGGAAAGGTTCAGATGAGGGTTACACAGGAAACGTGATACAAAGGCTGATTGAGACCCTGATTTGGATTTGCTGAGTCACTTTTCAAAATTGTGGAGAGTGGATATTTCTATCAAAGAATAGGGCAAATCCAAATGGACTGTGGGTGGGACTAATCCAGTGTAAAAGAGTTCACGGATAAAAAAGTCTTATCTAAATTTCATCTCATACTAAAGTAGGTAATGTCAGTGAAAAGAATTTAAAGGATGTGTGATAAGAGGTGAAACTGACCCCACATTTCATTGAATAAATACACTAATAAGGTATTTTTATATTTTATACTTTTTGCATTTTATATTCTCCAGTTATCAGATATCATGACATATCGTCAAATGATTGTCATGACATAATTTGATTATTGCAGAATTGCTGTGACGTTATTGTTATCCTGGGCTACACAGAGCGTATTGTATCACATCATATTTTAAGTTGCCCTGTGATTCCAACCCCGACTCTCTTCCCAAACAGCAGCAGTTAGGAGGAACAGGTTTTCTGAGGGACTGAGAAGGTCTAACAAACAGTTAATAAAATATGTCTGGAAAAGTGCTTAGTTCAATATTTCAACCAATAGTCACATGCCCCGAAAGGGTTCAGCACATTATCCCTTAAAGTAAGATTTAAACGAGTGTTTGACGTCACTCACATGGTACTAACTCCTACATTCAAAAACACATCCACACCTACTCAATGTCATTAGCCTGGGAATATTCCTGAAGTTAACAACTGAGGGTTCCCTGTCCCTGATTTGATGTGAGGTCATGAGAGCTGCTTTATGGTCTGGAAAAAAAAAAGCTTGTGGTAGTCATGGCGATCCACTGCAAAGTTCCATAACAAAGCAATGCTAAGCTGCCATGACTCCTGACCGGTCCGGCCTAATGAGATCAGTGTGATATCAGCCGGAGTCCATTAGCTCTGAAGTAAAGGTTAAAGAAGAGGGCAGTTCAGAGGTCTTTTTTGGAGCAGGGCTGGCAAACGCTGCAAGAAAATGTCCAGTGAAAAAGGAAACATATTAAGTATTTGAAGCAGGGTGTATGATATGGAAGTAAAGTCTGATGATGTTTGAGTATGACGCCGTGTTTCAAACCTCCTCATCATTCCCTCGTCAAACCTCAAACCTAAAAGGGAGGGAGCATTTTGGGCTTTTTGTCTCTGGGAAAACCTTAACTTGCGACATCAGTATGTTCCTTTAAATCACTTCTGAAGAAAACATTTATCTATTTTTTTTTGTACTGTTAGAAGTTGTTCCTCCATTATGATTTATTACGTCTTCCTGTTTAATCCCTACACTGTTGTGTATTTTGTTGCTGGGCTGGATGTTTTGTAAAGCTCTTTGTAACGTTGGTTTTGTGCTAAAAAAAATCATCTTTTTTTATTTTTTAAACATTTGTATTTTAGTAGTAGTAGCAGCAGCAGCTGGGTGTATTTTAGGGAAAACACAGACAGCTGAGTAGAGAGCAATTCTAACAAACTTTGTGGATGTAAAGTAAATGATAAATGTTCTGTGTGTGTTTATTTACCGATGCAGGCGGTGTGATGCTGGGTGAAGCCAGGAGGACATTTGCAGGTGAAACCACCGATGGTGTTAACACAAAGGAACTGACAGTTATGCTGTTTGGTCGAGCACTCATCCAGATCTGAAAAAGAGAAGAAGAATCACTCAAAACGAGCTATCTAAAACTGCTTCTACTTTTTGGAGTGCATATAAGATACTGGGGGGTGAATCTGTGTCAGATCACTGCGTGAACTACTGTATGGGGGCTGATCTTTTCTATGAGTCAAATTCCAGTCCTTCTACAGTCACTGACCTACAAATGAACTGCAAACGAACCAGACGCCGGAAACACTGAGGGGGACTGTACAGGGGGAAACTTAAACTTTGGTAAATAAAGATGAAAGAGGCCCTTAAAAACTGAACACAGTGTGCAAACTTGTTTAGACTCACAAACAAGTCTGATAAACATCGATAGGGCCAGATGCAGTGTGTCACTAGATCTGGATTCAGGGTACACGTTCAAAGTCGAACACGTGCACATGGACACATCGGCCCCAATGGAGCGTCTTGGGACAGTGAGCAGAGAGCGCTGGCAGAGGGCCCGGTCTACTCAGCACTACAGCTGCTCCAACCTGGAAACTAAGTCAAGCAAGATCTTCAACTTCAACTTTATTGTCTGCAGGAGGAACTTTGTCCTGCAGCCAGGAACCTTCGGCTGGTCTTTGCAAGAGAAGTAACCTATTTTAAAAGCATGCCACTTAATCCAAATGGTATGAGCAAAACAGGGCCTAATGTGGACACATACTTCACATTAAGAGTTTCAGTTTTGTTCTGTTTTGTTGTGTGTATGTCACCTCTGCAGCTCTTCCCATCTTCCTGTAGGATGTATCCACGGGGGCAGGAACAGAGATAGCCTCCCTCTGTGTTCTTACAGATGAAGTTACAAGGCTTTGGTGCCTGTATGCACTCGTCCACATCTAAATGAGAGAAAAAGAGAGAGGGTAAATGGTGAGGCAGAAACAGTGAGAGACAGAGACAGAGTAGGAGAGTTTGATCCTGTCGCCAGAAATTCCATACGGGGAGATGATGAGACAGACAGACAGACTGGGGCTGCATTTTTTTAAGGGAGTGTGTGGGCTGTCCATCCACGTAGCTTCACCTCTTTACTAGACAGCAGGAATGAGAGCAGGGAGTAGACATGGAAGGAAAAGAGTCTATTAAGTGTAAGCACTGGAGGTGAAAACAAGCCTTACCCACACACAGTGTGCTGCTGATGTCATTGGTGTAGCCGGGTTTGCAGGTGCAGCTGTAAGAGCCCAAAGTGTTGATACACTGACCGTTTTTGCACAAGTTCCCCATCACACGACACTCATCGATATCTGCACAGAAACAAGGAGAGTTAGCTCCAGATTAACTCATCACAACTGAATTACCAGTTAATTCACCGAGTGGGAATAGGAGTGTATGCTTAAAGTCCAGGTTCCTTTGAGAGAAAAACCTGCCAAGACCTGGATTTCTGTAGTGAATAACAGCTGTGTGCCCTATTTCCACTAAACATTAGGGGGGGAAATATTCTGTTCACATTTAGTTATGCATCAGTCTTGTGTCAAGTATACAGAAATGTGCAAGGCACTGATTTGCTCATGTGTCAGTTTAAATGAATGTTTTGTAGCTGATTATCTCAGATGACAACCATCTGTTAATTTAACACCCAGCACTGGTGATTTAAAGAACCAGAACAGTGTTTCCATGTGTACAAATTACTGCAATCAGATTAACAAAGCAGAACAATTGATGTCCTTCTTTGCAGGCAACCAATCTTCTGAAGGGTTTCCAAGCAGAATAGTCACTTGCAGAAATTAAGACTTGTTGAAAAATCCATCATTTTAAACAATACAATACTTAGTTGTCTGTTAACTAGGACCATTTCCTTTTTAAAACACTGCCTCGTTGGAGCAGTCTTGCACTAATAGGGGCATTGGAATACAAAAGATTTAACTCTATTTCCATGTTGGTGCTCTGGGTTTTATCTGCTCATATCAAAGCTAATGAATGAAATGCTTTTCTGCAGGCAAGTTCACAAACATGGATGTTGTAGCTTAATGAAAACCAAGATAGATTTTCAAAATCAATCCATCTCTCTACTGCAAGCCCCTGAAATAAATAGAAATGAGTTGTTGCCTGGATGGATGGAGGAAACTTAACAAATGAAGTACCTTTGATGCACGGTTTGGGATTGAAACCTCCTGTAAGTGCTTTATATTTAATTTAAAGTGAAAAAAAAACCCAAAAAAACTTTACAGTATAAAATTCATTGAGTTTAGTTTGATCTGAAATGTTTCACAGTATTTAATTTAAACTCATATAAGACTAAGATACCTCTGCCATCTGTGGTGTACCCAGGTCCAAGGGGACACATCTTCTTGTACTGGGTGGTCCCGGGCAGGGGGCAGAGCTCACAGTTTGAGCCCCAGCCTCTGCCTCCATCACAGCAACACTCTGACTTGGTCACCATGTTCCTGTTACTAGAGGTCATCTGGCACAGAGTGGTCAAAACTTCAGTGAAACAGAAGCCTTCACGGTTATCTGGAGGGTACGGAAGTGAGAGGGAAAAAAAAAAACGTGAGAGCGAGACAAACAGACAGCATGAGAGGTGGTCCAGAGGAAATCACACCAAACCACCCAGACGGGTCCAGGCCTCAGAGAACCAGACAGCCCCTAGATAACCCATAGCGCTCTATCATCACTGTCTGTAAGGAGGGAGATAGCCACAGGACCTCAGAGCTTACAGAATCTCCCTAGAGTTTTTCTCACTGTTTTTCAGCTGGGGGTTTTCACTCCGTGTTCAACACATCACGTCCATCCAGAAGTATATATTAGATTAGGGAGAAAGGCTTTGAAAGGAATTCCTTGCCTCTATCGTTACAGTAACACACATGTTTTTTAACTAGCCGGAGGAGGCTATCATGGAATAGGTGAAACTCTTAAGAACATTAAGAACATCCTTTTCTTCTATATCTCAGATACATCAACACATTAAGTTTCTTTATAAAGGATTTATTTAACCTTTTTTTTAATGTTGATCTTTTTACACTGATACTGTAAAAACGTCCACCATTTTAGTAAAATAATCGTAAAAACCAGTGACACCAGAGGCATATTTATTTGATGAGTATCAATCAGACCCATATCTCAACACCTAAATATTCTCCACAATCTTTCTAAACTTTTGTTACCCTGAACCATCATTCCCAGCCTCTTATCCCATTTCTACCTCTTATTTCCGTCAGGGATGTTTGAAATATAGACACAAAACACAGTTTAAACACACTTTTTCTCTTTTAAGTGACAAATATACCACCTAAAAGCCGATATCAAACAGGAAGGTGCTTTTGAACAAATCAGAATGAACAATGTACGTACCAATACATTCAGTCTGCGTAGGGTTAGCCACGAATCCATTGTCACAGTTGCAGCGGTAGCTTCCCACTGAGTTCACGCAGCGGCCGTTCTTACAGATCGCTGGTTTGGCTGAACACTCATTCAGATCTGAGACAGAGTACATACACCAGGAGAAGTTACAAGATTAAGACGTGCCATTATAGCCTTTTAAATCATTTAGTGGCTGTTCGACCAAGAAGTCAACATTTGAGGCAGTTGTTTTCAGCATGTCAACAATTCACCAACATGAGTCGATAGAGGGTATTTTGAACAAATATTTAAAGCTTATATGGAAATTATTGACTGTGTACCAAAGTATGTTATTCATTGTGCAGCGTATGGGTGGAGTTAATGCTACTGTAAGGGGATTTTAGCTGGTTATGAAATAGACTGACCTCTATAACAAATAAAAGAAAAAAAAAGACCTTCAGCAAGATGATTATTGATATATAATTGTCTGTAATTGCTGTAACTTTTTTCTGTGTGGTAGGTGACCGACTAAACAACTAACAGCCAAATGCCAAAATAACCTTTTATTTTACATTTTCCACCGCAAAGATTCACGGTGATTGATATATTTTACTGTGCAAAGACAACAGGATGAGCCTTGTTATCAGAAAAAAAGAAGAGGAAATACTCAGTGAAGAGTTAAGAGGTAGACCTTTGTCCACAGGGGCACCAATTATCTTGTGTTTATTCTCTCATTCATTATAAAACCATGATGATCTTACCCATACAACCATCCCCAGCGGGCGAGCGTGTGTATCCAGGGGGGCAGATGCACATGTATGTACCAATCAGGTTCTTGCAGGTCATGCCTCTGCTGGCACAGTCATCTATACCGTCCTCACACTCGTTCTGATCTGGAGAATAAACATCATACTGGGAGTAAGAGGACTAACAATTCAAGAGAAATCCAAGTGAGTGCACCTATAGCAGTGATGTAACGTGGACACTTAAAACTGCACTTGAGAGGTTTAATCCTAACACTGAGCTCGGTAGTGCTAACAGACGTGTGCTAAGAGGGTCGACGATGTGTTTGGAGCTCCAATATAAACAGTGAGGCTACAGACACTGAGATGTTCCTCCCGTCTCTGCACTTCCCTCCAAATACAACCGTTTCCATGGAGACTGGGCTATCTAAGAGAGCTGAGGTGTAAACAGTGCCTCGGCCGGTTGCTGTTTCCAGAGAGTGTTTCAAGTTCATCAGAGAGAGAGGATCAGAGATAGTGTGTTATGTAACTTTATGGAAGGGGAAACGTCTCCATGAGGTAACTGTTTTTTTTTATTTTCTACCAACACTTGGTCCAGTAAATGGACCATAACTGATAAAGCTGAGTGTATGAGTGAGTCATTTAGCTGTGGTACCTTTACACATCCTCCTGTCCTCACGCAACACATAGCCGGTGGGACATTTACACTCGTATGAGCCGACCACATTAACACAGCGGAAGGCGCACAGGAGAGGATTCTGGGCGCATTCGTTGATATCTGGAGAAGATCGGACAACAACAAGTTACAGCAGAAGTACAGAAATTCAGAGATGACATACAGTCTGATGGACGTGAGTGCGCAGGTGTAACTTTGCATACCTTCACAGGTCATCATTGGTCCGGGCTCAAATCCGTCGTCACATGCACACTCAAACCCACCAATGACATTTGTGCACGTGCCGTTGCCGCAGGGATTTCCAATCTCACACTCATTTGTGTCTGTATCGAAGAAAGTCGCACACATCCAAATAAGCATGTTAAGAGTTAGATCAATATCTACCAAGTGGATATTTAAAGAGACAGGACAGTGGCAAAACCTGCCTTCACATGTGACTCCTCTTATGTCCAAACGGTATCCCATGGGACATTCACATCGGAAAGAGCCGTCTGTGTTGATGCACTGACCGTTTGTGCAAGGGTTATTGAGACATTCATCGACATCTGCAATTGAAATACATCAGCATCTTGTGAATACAAACTTGAACAGACAAGCAGGACTATGATGGCTTAATGGTAATGACACTCACACACCTTTTTGATGGTCGTCTTTCCCCCGTTGATATCCCTCATTTTTACAGAGAAGAGGATACCCTTCTGGAACCACAAAGTTGGAAAAGTCACAAACAACATAACAATACCATTCATATTGTTTTGACCGTAAGTGTACACACCCTCTCCTTTAGTGGGGCAGATTTCACAGGGGTCTCCCCAGCCTTGACCGGGCATTCCAGTGCAGCAGCACACTTCCTTTGTCGTGTTCTGAGGCTTTGGAGCCTGACAGCGGCCATTTTCAAACTTGGTATAGCAGTAGCTCACCCGGATATCTAAGGGTTAACCAACACAGAGGAACAACATGACAAATCAGAGAGAGGCCTGAAGGAAAAAATTAACACAAATCAGAAGGAAAGAAGGAGCAGAAAGGAGGATTGCACAACATCAGTTGGTTTGGTTGTTGTTTATTTCACCACTTTACTGTGTTTCAAATGATTTATTTGAATGTGGATACAATTTGCTAATTTGTTTTCTTGCCGTGTTGAATGATCACATTAATACCACTCTCATGTCAGTCAAGAGCCAACAGCTGATTTACTGCTCGTCTGGCCTTGCCTAAAATGTTAACAAACTAACTAAAGCATAAAAAATATAAATAACACTAATTACGTCTCCTTTAATCTGTTCAAATCATGTCTAGTTCTTCAATCGTATTTTTAAAAAAATAAATCATTCTGATAAAGGAGGAAATTGACTTCCATAAAGTTTGTGTTTAAGCGTTTAAAGAGTATTGCTCCTCAACCTTTCTGAAAATACAAACAGAGACGACAGGGCTGCAGCAGCTTCAAGAGGCAACTGTAAAGTTTCATTTTGCAAATATCCTTTGCTGAAACAGCTTTTTCTGTGAAAGGAGTAAAATCCTGGAACTCTTTACCCGATTACTTGAAGATTACTGCGAACTTCACTACTTTTAAGAGAGCCACCAAATCAGTACTGAGTACACAGGTAGGCTTAAAGGCAGGATTGGTAATTTTTTAAAACATGATTATGAAAGTAGTATTCCCTCAGTGCCCCGTCTACACCCACCCCCTCCCCTCTGTGCTCCCTCAAAAGCCACGCCCCTCACTTTACATGCACAAGCGCCGTTGGTCCAGAAGCGGAGCTCAGCTCGTGCTTTGAGTGTGGGCTTGTGCATGTATGGGTTAGAGAATGTGCAGGGAGACAGGGAGGCATGATTGGTTCATCAGATTGGTACCTCGTGGCAGACATTGGTCGAAGTCTTGACATGCTACAGATGACAGATTTCTTCGTTCCTTTTTCAGAGCACATGAATTATTCATTTCTGTCAGGACCTAAAGACAGTTTCAACCAAAATCTTTAAAAAGTGTATCTGGAGAAAAGTACCAACCCTGCCTTCAACTTTTTGTGACTATAAATTAAATCTAACTACAATATATTCTAAGTAAATCTTCCAATTTATAGAAATGTTTTCTATATTTTAGTGAAGTATTTGTAGTTAGAACAAAGGCTGGCTAATCAGCTCTGCTCAGTGATCAGTGTTTGCCAGTCTCTCTCTCTTTTTCTGAGGGCTCTTGTTCCTCCTGGACGAGGCAGGCCCTTACTTCTAATGAGAAGCATATGGCCGTGCTCTCCTGCTAGCTCTGGCCTTCACTAAACTCAACACAAATAAGCTTTCTGACCACCATAGATCACACACACACACTTACACACCTGGCGCAGAGGCAAGGATCACATACATGAACACCTGGTGCTTTGAGGAGAATGTCAAAGAGTGTCATGTTACCCTCCTCCATGAAACTGATTTGTCAGCCTTTCCGCAAAGAGATTTATGGTGCTTTGTGCACAGCTGCTGAGCAAGTGTGTGTGAGTGCATGCACATGTACGTCTGCACGTGTATATGTCATTCTTCTCCTATAGTTTATGACCCTGAATATATGATACAAATGTTCAAATGTTCAATGCTTTGTATTTCTTTCAATCACAGATGGATTACAATACTGGATCAAAATAAAATAACACACAACAAATTCATAATTAGTTATAAATAATAATAAGTTAAAGTTAGATAAACACTCGGCCTGACAGTTGTGATGACACACATCTGAATGTGGTGACAGATATTTATGGTTTAATCGTGATAATTATGGAACTTTCCAAAACCTCTACAGCGTTATGATTTAAAACATGTCATTAATTGTGGAGTCCTAGTGGTCTGGTGGTTAGGACACATACCACATTACTTATTGCAATATCTGAAGTATGACTCAAGCCAAGGAGCCATGTTTCATATCATCCCAAATGTCTCTCCTTTAAACAGTGATTTTAGAAATGATCAATTAACGTTATTAAAACAACAAAGGAAAAATCTGATTGTTCGTTACATCGTCTCTCACCAGTCCAGCTATAGCCAAACCTTGCAGTGATGTAAAACACAGCGGATGTGCTAAAAAAAAGACCTGGTTGCTCTTTGAAAAATGAGCATAGGTTTCAGCTGAACCGCAGTTAACCAGCAGCCAAGCCACGACTGAGAGACCCAACACAGTTGTGTCACCAACCCCAACATTATGTGTTTCACTGCAAGTAGGTGTAGCTGATGGCTTTCCGGAATACACCATCGTTATGGAATTAACGTTTGATCCATATTGCTACACTGTTGGCGGCCTCATCGTGATCTGCATCAACGCCTTCACAGTCGTTCAAGTTTCGGCATTCAATTGGTCAAACCGGTGAGTGTTGCATGTACCATTATTAAGATTCTGACCCCTGACAATACTGATTAATCAACACAATAAGTGATCACATTCCACCAATGATTCTATGTAAGAAACCATCTCTCCCTTTGTTCTACCATGTGAAACCTTGTCTTTACAAAAACATGTCTAACTGCACTAATGTTAACGTATTATCACCACATTTTAATCACGTGTACATATGACACTTTGTTTATTGTGCTGCCTTCTATGACCTAAGCAGGAGTTTGACTTTTACAAGGAAACATAACTGTGTTGAGACTAAACAACAGGCGAAGTCTCCACTGCAACGTTTGAGGTAACAAACAGTGTTGGAGTTGGAGGTGAACTTTGGCGCAAACACTGCAAGTATGAACTAATCTTATCCTCAGACCACAGCTAACGACAGAGTGAGCAACAGCTCCGCTCTGTCCTCATCACACACTTGTCTGCCTTCTTTTGTGTGTTTCTGGGATTAAAGCATTGTTATCGTGACATGATGAAACAGGATTTTTTATTTTTCAAATGCAGGGTGCGGTCATTTATCATTCTTTGGATTGAGGCCATGAGGTGCGTGTGCATGATTTCTATCTGAGGCCACGTTTTTTTTTTCACCTCAGTGTATAAAAAAACCCAATAAACTATAGAGTCATTAGTGCTGGTGTGTTTCCAAAGTTATAAATTAGGTTATATATAATCAACAAATTCTTACTGTTCAACTTGAACTCATTATCAACACCTGACCTGGATCTCTCAACACAGACACAGGCGATGCAGCTACAGCATGACTTGGTTGGTTTCACAGCTTATGTGGCTAATGCTAACATTACAGACCTGTAGTTTGATGATGCTGTGTAACCGACTGAATCTGTTTGCTGATTGTAAGACTTTTTCGTACTCAGGTTTTATTCATGTATTTACCATTATCACATAACTGTCACATAAGTTACCACAGAGGTAACTTGTGTAACAGTCTTAATTTGATCTCTTATTGATTCACTGATGTCTTCTAAGAACTAGAAGTATGGAGATCTATGAAAAATATTGAGTATAACTTAACTTTATTCTACTATATTAACAGTCATCGTTCGCTGTCACACCATATCCAAGAAAAGGGAATATAAATATATTAAAATATGAACATCGTTAGTGCACAATGACCCACAAATAATTTTGTAAATGGGACAGGATTTGTCCTTGTCAGAAAACCTTTGTCTCCCTTACCGCCCATGTTGCTCAACCCTCCACCCATCTTCACGTGTTTATCTCCCCCCGCCCTCAGACACCGGAGAGAGAAGTGAAATGCAAACTGTGAACCTCCTTTCTGAACTGATGATGTCATCCCTTCAGTGTTTGGAAGGGGGAACTCCCTAACTGAAGACTCAGTGCTCCCCAACCCAAAAACACACATATGTACATGAACACACACACACACACACACACACACACACACACACACACACACACAAACACAAACGCAAACGCAAACGCACACACACCACTGAGGAAATGGAAAAGTGATCTGTTCAGAGCCACCCCTGGCCTTGTTGAGGCAGCAGCAGCAGCAGACCCAGCTGGAACACAGTGTGCTATCATGAAAAAGCAGGAAAAGCCGAACACCACTGACTGCTGCATAGCCTCCACACACACTCAGAACCAGACTATACAGATACACTTGTATTTACACTTTGCACTTACAACCTCGTGCATAAAACAGTTACATTGCCACTCTTCCTCTCACACCAACACACACTCACACAGATACCTAAACATCTGCGTCCGGAGTCAGAGATCTGGAAGCCGTCGGGACACGAGCATGTGAAGCTTCCTTCAGTGTTGGAGCAGGTTCCAAATGTGCAGATCTCCGGAGACAGGAAGCACTCATCGATATCTGACATACAAAGAGAAATGATATCAACCACCTCATCACATTTTTGAATCTGCTTCTAATTTGTACCATCAGAGTTCCACCCTGCACGGTTCATTGATGTTTCATTTTCCCTTAAACTACCGTCAGAGCTGGAGGGGTGAAATCATACCTGTACGTCACGGTCTATTGAGATAAAATAGAATCCACCTCAACTCATACATAGTTTAATAAAAAGGCGTTTCCTTAGGGATAGCCTTTATGTCACGTTTTCACTCATCACGATGACCAGCTGCTGCTGTAATTGATGCTGAGAATCCAATACTGTTCCTCCCTGCTTCCAGGAACAGAGCGCAAAGCAGGAATGTGTTGAAGTCTGCCGAATATCTCTTCATCGGTTCCACTGTATAAACAATCCAAGAGTTCTGGCATGGGCCCACTCCCACGTGTGAAAGGGAGATGAGGGGGGTTTAGTAGGAGTAAGAAAGAGGGGGGGGCATAAATGTTCTTCATTCTGTTCTTTAACACCTAAGCAGTGGTAGTTAAAGCTGTGATTTGTGCATGTACGGTTTGGGTTCTCTGCCTTGCCTGAGCTGAAATTTTCTTTTTGGCTTATGTTTATGGAGCATGAAACAGAAAGGACCAGCATTTGGCTGCCGTACCTTCACAAGTTTCCTCATGGAGATAGTAGCCCGGCGGGCAGATACACCTGTAGGAGCCGTCCAGATTCAGACAAGTTCCTGCGCCACATGTGCCTGGATTCACGGCACATTCATTTATATCTGAGAGATAAAGAAATATGCAAGGGATTGTAATGTAAAAACAGATCATTACACTCAGATTAAATACAAATAATAATCAGAATGTGGCAGATTCCTTACCTGCGCAAAGCCTGCCGTCTAAAGTGAGCTCATAGCCGTCATTGCACACACACATGAAGGTGCCCACGGTGTTCACACACTGGCCGTTTCGACACAAGCCCCTCTGTGTGGAACACTCGTCTACATCTGTTCAATGCAAAAGACAAAACAATATTTATCACACTGGGTCCATAGGGCTCTTGCTTTTTTCTATTTTATCTATCAGTAATTGTAAGTGTATCTACATGCACTCACCTATGCAGTCACTGTTGTGCGAGTTGACGAAGCCGGGGTAGCAGAGACAGTTGTAGGAGCCCACTGTGTTCTTGCACGTCCCGTTTCCACAGGGTTGTCTCTCACACTCGTCCACGTCTGAAACCAGAAAATAATCATCAGTTTCATTTAGAGGCAGCATTACCACGACATCACTCGTTTGACTGAGTAACACTGCTGAAATCACAGAACTGGTAGGATGATACTCAACTTACCCACACACATCGACTGGTCTCTGGTTGGTTTGAAGCCATTGGGGCAGATGCAGCGGTAGCTCCCCAGCATGTCAATGCACTGACCAGGATTACATACACCAGGGCTCTCAATGCATTCATTACGGTCTGAAAAAGGAGGAAATCAACTGTCACACTTGTGGAAAATTCAAGGTCAAACTACAATGCAGAGTCCAACACATAAGCAACAATTATAACACTGGTTCAGTCAAATGAGTAAGCTGTGTTGAAAAAGGAAATGTAACCTTACATTGTCACTAAAAATGTGTGATGAATTTCTTCGGATCAAATTTCTTCTACATGTAAATCAAAGGGTAAACTTATGGGAATAAACTCATGAGTGTCCCTCAATGTACTTCTTTATTTCCATCTTTTCATGCAAAATGCAGTTTTATGTACTTTCATTCTAAAACTACTCCTTTATCTCTTCAGCTGTGTAGAGAAAAACACAGGTCTGATTAATGTTAATATTTACGTTAAGATAGGCCTTGCATTGCCAGCCCATAATGTTGCATCTTCTACGGTTGTTTTGCACATCTCCTACATGAGACATGTAATTTTAACCTAGACAAAGGTGACAGTTCACCTCTTCTTCAGGCATCAGTTTGAAATTGAAACAGTCCTGCATAAACAAACATCCAAACTTCAGGCAGTCATTAGTCTATGGGCAGCTTGATGATTGGAAAACAATCCAGACTCTATTAATTGTAAATGTTTGATACATTTTTAGCAAGTATTCAGTACTCAAACTAGTACCTACTAAATGACTTCTGATATTTTCTACTTTCCACAAATAGTTACTAATACAGGCATGCTGTAATTTATCTGCAGAAAAGAGAACTGGCCGTTCATGCTGTTACATAATAACAATGTAATATTACATGGTACTGGAGTTAACATTGTTATTATTAAACTTTTAATAAAAGAGTCGGACCATGTTTTGTTTTAGGGGATTCATGAAAAGCAGGAAGCAACAGATATTCCTTAATAACAAGCCCACCATGAAAAATGTATCAGCAGTCTGACTCTTATTATGCTGCCTTTGGTGTTAGATTTTTTGGCAAGAATGAAGAGTTTAAAGAGTTTCATATGGTTGAGTTCGATGCAATAGCTTCAGGAGACAGGACAGCATCAGGCCACAGGAAGCACGGAGGAGTCTGCATCATCCTCATGGAAGACAGCAGCTTTTGACAGCCTCGTCTAATCTTCTCTATAATCCTGCTCCGTGCTTCCAACAATTCTGCATAATCTCCAAGAAGGTCGTCAGGAGTTGACTTAACCGCTGCGAGTTGAGTTAACGGTCTTTCTTGTGCTTGATAATCTTGAGTGCTGCTGACACTTTTTAACCACTTTAAATCCCAAAGCTGATCCCCCCCCACAGCCTTACCCAGACACTGTCCAGTGGAGGTTAAGCGATATCCAGTTTTACACTCGCAGCGGTAGCTTCCAGGCATGTTCAGACAGGCTGCATTCTGCTGGCACATTGGTCCATTCTGACACTCATCAAGATCTAAAAACAACACAGACAGTGGTGTTCAAAGACTTTTAACAACAGGTTAGAATTATCAAAACAGGCTTACACAGCATTTTTGCATGACGGCATCATTTCCAGCTGAAGTTTAAAGTGCTGACTCACCTTCGCATATCAGCAGCTTGTCGTTGTAGAAGAAGCCAATGGGGCATTCACACCTGAAGCTGCCGACCATGTTGATGCACACTCCGTTCTCACACACACCTGGGATTTCCCTGCACTCATCAATGTCTAGAACAAGAGTAAGAGACATGAAGGCAGGTTTAGAACAAAATAAATGTTGTTCTTTACCACATCAACCTTTGAATTGAAATCTTACCAATGACACGTCCAGTGGTGATGTCGATGTAATATCCGGGTCTTTCGCTACCGCACAGGATCGCAAAATCATCTGAGAGGACATGAGGGTAAAAAGCTTACTTTCTTACTTACTTATATGTGCGTTCTACTGAGTGTGCGTTTGTATGAGACCTCACCAGTGCTGGGCACAGGACAGCGTTCACAGGGTTTATTCCATGCACGGCCAATGTTGTAGGAGCAGCAGCACATCTTTTTGGTCATGTTGAAGGTCAGCTCTCCGTCACATGTGCCGTTGTCTGTGTAGAAGTTCCTGTAGCAGTAGCTCTTCCTCATGTCTGTATGTGTGTTTATCAAAATAAACAGTTTAACTTTGCACTGCACAGCTTCAGCAGTCTGTCTTTTTTTCTTACTGCCATGAGGCTGTGTCATGAAGACCTACCCATGCAGTTGTTTCCTCCGTTGACCTGCATGTAGTCCACAGGGCAGATACAGGTGTAGTTCCCGATGGTGTTGTAGCAATTGCCTGGGCCACAGATGCCTGGTCGTTCACACTCATCGACATCTGTGCACAGAGAGATGAAAGGAAATGAGTTCATTGATTTGAAGAATACTGGTCCAATTAACACTCTATTAGTAGAGTAATGACTCATGATACACATCTGACGGCTGCATTTGTCTTCTTCTGAGCATATTATTTCCCAGCTTGTCTTTAGGTAACTTCATCATCATCTTAATTACACAATCTGCCCATCCCAAATCCAAAATAACAACCAAAATAAAAACCACAGCAGAGGCTTTAATACCTTTTAATAATTTGTGTTCTTCTTACTATACTTGCTGCACAATAAATATTTGTCTACTAGGATTGATGCCAAAAAGTAAATGCAGTGTTTGTTCCCTGTGCACAGCTGAACTGTCGATTTACTTAGTGAATTTGCAGTCCTGGACTTAATAGAGCAGACACCAGCTTTTGTTCTCTGAGCCAATAAACACTTGTTAATTAACATACTGCGAGCCACGTTATTGTCTCGCCCTTATCCCCCTTCTCTCCTCTGTGTTCATGTTTCTCTATTTTTAAACACCCTTCCCTTGAATCTCTTATTTCTCCCCATCCCTCATTCCTTCTGCCCTCCCTCCGCCATCTCTGCCCTGTCTTCAGGGGACGCAGTGTACTTCGCAGAGGAGCAGGCTGACCACATCAGAGCCGCTGCTCCTCTGGACACAGTTAGGCCATTAGCTGTCCAATCCTCCTGACTGAGCTTTGTTGGGTCACAGACAAAAAATAGAGCAGAGACATATTGAGCAGGAATGAGCTGCAGTGTTGTCCAGGGGACAAAAACGGTTAATATTTCTTTTGTCTTTTTCGCTCTCAGTGCTCCTTCCTCCCTCTCCATGTGTGCTCGTCGAACAAAGGCATCGACGGCTGGACTCAATTTCCTCCCAACTGAAACGTCCCAGGGCAAGAGCTACAGAGGAATCGGTCACCTGTGCGCTCATGTGTCTGTGGCGCAGCATGGAAATACACGTGTAGATAACATACCTTCACAGACTCTGGTCTCTACGTTGAGGGCGTATCCTCTCGGACATTCACACTGGAAGCTGCCAAAGGTGTTGATGCACTTGCCTCCCTGGCACAAGCCGGGCAGCTCCTGGCACTCATTGATGTCTGACAGAGAGAGAAAGGAAAGAGTCAGAGGCATCTTGGGTGGGGCTGTTCTATCTGTTTGGGAGTGTTTAAGGCTAAGCAGGGGTGATCACACACAGAAAAATAAAAGCATGCTGCTGACCTTCTAAGATGACTGTGATGGGATTTGGTCTGAACCCTTCTCCTCCAGGACACAACGTCTTGTACTCAGCTGTAACACAGAACACACCACATTAACCAGGGACAATGACACAACACACACAAACCACAATGAGAGCTTGTTTTGTGCAGACTTTGACAGAAATTGTTAGACACTGTGACTAGTCACATGCCCAGTTGGGAAAGTATATTTTCTGGTCGTCATCTCGTTTCCTGTCACTCTCTGTTTTGGTTATTCTGACCAGCCGTCTCAGATCTCAAAGGGATCCACAGAGCCCAGTGGACCGGACATGACTGCAGCTACTCAGAATTACAAAAGCCAAAGTAAAAAAGTTTCTGTTTTTGTCAAAGAAGCAAGCATTTCCCTGCACTGAAGAGGGCGAGTCATTCCCTGTAGTGTTTTGAGCCATCTGTTTACAATTTCAGGTTAGTTGCACAAAGCTGTCTCATCTTTACCAGCAACAACAACAGCAACAGGCAAAACACACTCATTGCATGAAAAGCGCAAGTAGCCTGAACCCTGTCAGCAAACTCACACCTAACATTTTAAAATGTACATTTGTGTATTTATATATTTGTGATTTGGTTCAATTTGTGTCATGTTCATGAAAAAGAGAAAACTTTGAAGCACATCTGACATAAAAAACTTAAACGTACAATGTTTGAGACTCAGGTGGGCAACACAAATGTCCACTGTGGCTGCCAAGAGATGTTCTATGTAATCTCACTGACCTGTTTCTGGCTGTTTATGTCAAGAGGTTACATACCACGCTATTAAACTGAAGGCAGCATAAGAAATGACTCATACATAATGCACACAAATCCTAATTTTGTTTGTGTTGACTTACTAGAGTTGACGGACGGGCAATTTTCACATGGATTTCCCCAGCCCTGGCCCAGGGAACAGCAGCAAGACGCCTTGGAAACGCCAACTCCGATCTCATTGGAGCAGTCCAAGCTCTCTGATGCATCACCTCGTAAACGAACATCCAGGTAGCAGCTTCCAGAGCGAGTGTCTGTACACACACACACACACACACACACACAAACACACACAAACACACACATGCACAAGAGAGTTCAGGTGTACAGATACTTCTGCTTGAGAATGATCAACATCCGCACCAACAGCGTGAGTTCAGAACCTGTTGAGTCTCACCTACACAGCCCACTCGTGTGGGGTTGAGTTCAAAGTCTGCAGGGCAGTTACAGTGGTAGCTTCCAGGGATGTTGACACAGATTCCATTAATACAGATGGTCGGGTCTATACACTCATTGATATCTGAGAAAGCAGACAAAACAAAAGTCTATTTAATGTATTCATTGTTTGGAATGACAGCAAGGAAAACAGGAGACGTTTATACTGGGGTTAAAATATCTATAATTTATTGACTGCTGTGGATACATTCATTTTATAAACTCCTTCGTATTGTCTTAGCTCACTAGACACAAATACAGTTTCATTTGAGCGAGCAGTTGGATTCTGGGTTTTGACTGGCCTTACCTGTGCAGTTGCCTCCACTCCTGTCAAGTTCATAACCGATGTTACATTCACATCTAAAAAGCCCTGGGATGTTCCTGCAGCGTCCGTTGACACAGATGTCAGCAAAGGTACATTCATCTATGTCTGTAACAGATAAAGAGAGGCAGAGAGAGAGAGAGGCAGAGAGAGAGAGAGAGACCGAGAGAGAGACAGATAGAGATAGAGGGAGAGAGACAGAGAGACCCAGCTGTGAGGGATTAGTGGATCATGGGATCATGGTGGAAAATTGGCAGCCAGCAACAGGAAGTGAAGGCCGCTCACCTCTGCTAAAGAATGACAGTTCTGGGGCAAAAAAAAATGCCCAGACACATTCAGACAGACGCACACATACACTATCAGAGCTGCAGCCAAGGTTATGAAATTGTGCTCTTCCACATCATTACACTCTGCACAAGTCATTACTGTCCAGTCCTGCCTAAGTTGATGCACGGAGAACCGGACAGGTTATTTCAGGATGTTTGACACATCAGCACAATGAGGTCAGTCTGCTCATTCAATTGAATCCAGCAATGTCTTACTGTATCTCTGGGAGCATAAATCATGCTCTTTCTGCTACCAGTGATAAACGTGTTCATATGTTAACACTACAGTAGCGCAGGTTAGGTTTTTATACACCTCCTTAGTTAATAAGGTCTACATGCAATCTTACCTCATCCTTCAATTTTTTTAATTCTATATCCAAATTAAATTATCCCTGAAAAATACACTTTGCACAGTATATGAGGTTAACCTGGAGAATATAAAAGTGTAGTATTAAGGTTATGGATCTTTGGATCTATATCCCGAGTGGGGCTTAAAAGGTCCTGCAGCTTTGTTTTACTAGCTTAGGAATTAAAATCTAATGACCTGACTGAAATGAGTTCATATAAATAAAGTCAAGAAACACAATGGAAATGTATGTATCCCAATCAATCTTGTGTCTAAATATCTCATGCATTACTTAACCTGCTAACGACCGCAAGCTGTCATGAGCTAACTCTCAAGAACATTTTCTCACTTGGGCAAAGTCCGATCTAGACCGTTCTCTGCCACTGATTGGCCTGATGATAATTTTTTAACCCTTACCAGGTCAAGTCGGGAAAAATAAGCATCCTGCTCCCACCTGAAGTCTTCTTTTTCTCAAAGACACACTGTAATAGTATATATAAAAATACTGTAGATGGAAAAACAAATATGGACTGACTAAAATAAGCTATAAAAAGAACTCTTTGCTGATAAATGCAGCCTTGGTTTGCTGACTAAACTAAAAAAAGACTTTTGACTGATCCTGATGTATTTGCTTTTTTGATTTTTGTTTGCTTCTATCAAAGTGCTATGATGGAATCCACCCCACCCCACCCACTGCAAAACAAAGCAAATCCTCAGCCAAATATGAAAAGGAAACAAAGCATAATCTATTACTGTTGTCATTCCCCAAGAAATGTTCTCACGATTAAAACCACTTAGCTGCTAAGCATCCTGTGTACTTCCCCTGTCCAAAACATCATCTCATAAGTTCCACTTGAAGTCTGCCTGTTTTGGATTGGTGCTTTTTCCAAACAGGAAACCAAACATTCACCAGACCAACACCAGACCTGTTTGAATCACTCTACATAATTAATGATTTGGGCACCAATGTAGAGGTGTGGAGCCAGCATAGTCAGGAGTTTTGCTGCCTTACCTTCACAGGCTTTGCCGTCCACAGTGGGGATGAAGCCCATGTCACATTCACAGCGGTATCCTCCAGGCAGATTAAGACAGTGGCCGCTCTCACACAGGTTGCCGTTCTCTGCACACTCATCGCTGTCTGTAGTTGTCATCACATACACAAATGAAGTCCGTAAGCACATACTGCATTTGTGCATCTTTAAAAAAGCCAAAATTGTGGTTCAGATATTGGTTTGTATATGTGACCTGAGCAGTAGAATCCATCTCCAGAGAATCCTTCCTTGCATGAACAGCGATATGAACCCATGGTGTTCAGACACTCAGCGTTGTTGCTGCACATGTGTGTCCCATTGGAACACTCATCCAGGTCTGAAACACAACACACAACAGACATTCCTCAGACGGGGGGGAAATAAAAAGTGAACTGGTAGAAAAAAAGTTTTTGCCATGTATCAGTAGACTGTTTACAGCACCAGGACTCAGTAAGTGGGAAAGACTTTAGTTAGGTACTTCACCATGGAAGGTCATGGTGGAATTGTAAAGCTGATCCTATTCTAAATCTAATTCATTAACAAGCTGATCCGTCTAACATAACCAAACATATATTATGTTTGTATATTTGCATAAACTGGATGATGAGCCTTAGCAGACTTGTGCACTCTCAAGTACCTTCCAAGCTATCCTTTTGTTTGGTCAATAGTTGAAAGAGGCTTTTTAATGCATCGTATTATGCATATTACTACCAAATATTACAAATATAAATACTACAATGTACTGTGATCGTTTAAGGCCTTAAGACTTACCTGTGCATTTGAGGCCGTTGCCAATCCACCCTGGAGCACAGTTACATTTAAAGCTTCCAGCTGTGTTGGTGCATGTGGCTTGCCTGTCACAATTATGGGCTCCGATCTCACACTCATTGATATCTGTCAAAGAGAAAACAAACAAGAAGTCAGGTAAGGAAACATAGACATTGCTCTGATGGTCTGGTGATTTGCATTCTCATTCCTGGGGAGTTCTTGGCTTTGGGAAGCGACTTGATGCTTGGTTTGAACTGTATAAAGACACCAGCAGGAGCAACAGCACTAAGTCTTTCTGGGTCACTGTCTTCATCCACTGAGAGTTGTATTTCAGAGCGGAGGGCATGAAGACATTCTCATGATCTCTGATACTAATAGCCTTCCTGCAGAGGTTTAATGAGCCCCGGTCTCTGGATTTTTACTGTGCGTCCAGAGAGCTCTAAAAAGGCTAAGAGGGAGAACGATATCCTTACGCTGAGGCCTTGTTCTGTCTGCGATGCCTGAACAAGAATTTCTGAGGTTATTTTAGGCAAAGATTTTCCTCTTCACCCACAGATCCACAGACACTGCACCTCTCATATGAGGCTTTTGTAAAAGCTCTCTTTAATGCATGTGTTTGGTTTTCTCACCACCCCAGATGTCAAGTTTGGAAATTCAATCTTTTCCAAATATCATTTCCATAAAAGTGTGATGTAGTAATGTGCCAACTCTACAAATAAACATTCCTTCACAGGCAGGAAAGACATTGTAATTACATCTGAACTCTGCCAATGGATGAAAAATGGAGGTACTTAGCAGACAAAGTGGTTATAAAAACACCTCTCTATATTTGTCCATCTCTTGTATGTGGCCCTCTGTTCTAATACATGAACAAAAACCAATAGAGACAATTAAATTGGCTACTATAATAATGTTCTGTTTACATCCTGCAGGTTGTTATCTAGCTATCTCAATCAAAAACAGGATTGAAAACATGGCACCGTTACAGAAAAAAAACTGTATTCGCTACAACAATAATGGCTGCTAATATGAGCCAAAACAAAACACCCTGTGAAACACTGATCAACACAATACCTGGCACTGAGCTGGGAAAAAAGTAATTGTTTTAGCTTTTTTAGAGGGATTGGTCATGGTTTTTTGTGGCAGTCCCTGTACATCAAGAGAAGCCATTTTCAGAACTCAAGATGTGAGGACTTATCAGCCTGTAAGACACTTGTGTGTGTGTGTGTGTGTGTGTGTGTGTGTGTGTGTGTGTGAGGGTAGTAATTCAAAGCACTGTCAATTAGAGATTAGTGCTGCTGGTTTACAGTCTTCCCGGGGAGAGGCTTCAGTGTATTTACACTACATTTGATGAGGGGTTTCTTATGAGGGCGAATCTCCCTGGATTACAGACAAAGTGAAAGATCATTTCCCCCAAACCTTTGATGACAGAGAGCACAACAAACACTCACACATTTTCTCAATTGGAAATGTAAAATGCAAGCGTGTCAGCGATCACAGCTGGTGTCAAACAAGAGGCTTGATTTAACAAGGACTAATGCCTGACAGATGAAACATGGATAAAAAAGGGGAGAAAAGAGGGAACACATCTGCCTACCTGCCTGTCTATCTGTCTCCCAGTTTGTATGACTGCCTGGTTGCCTGTCTATATGTTTGCCACCTGTCTTGCTACATGTCAAAGACTTCATTTAGACTGCCGGGAAATCAGTTTTTTTTTGTTTTTTTTCAAATCACATCATTAGACAGGCTGGCCGCAATGTTTGAAAGTGATCTGATTAGATTAGTGTGTCCAGACATTACAAACATACGAGTAGATTCACATTTCAAAACATGTCCACATGTGGTTTGGGTCTGAATTGCAATAACCATATTTGATGTTTTATTTTTTGGATGTTGTGACTCTAAAATCAATCTGGGTATAATCTGGATAAAAAACATAAAAATTGATTAAGGCTGCTAGTCCAAATAAGGCTTTAAAATGGCTGGTGTTCAGGCAAGTTGGACATGCAGTGATATACTACAAAAAAATCAGCAGAGTGAAAATACTTTAAAAATATTTATACCAATCCAAGCCAATCCAAGCATATACAATATTCTCAACTCTCTGCATTTAAAAGTGTCCAGGATTTTTTTCTATCTGTATCCCTGACTTTTCTGTGTATTTTGAAAATAGCGTTATGCTGCTATATTAGTTTTGAAATAAGATGAATCCTAAAACTTTTCAAGTTTTTAGATGTAGTAGCCTAAATATTTAAATGTTTTGTAAAAAATAGCATATATTGCAGGGAAAAGTTGTAAAGTTAGCAAGCTGACACAGAAGTAGGCTTTTCGTAGAGCTAACACTGACCAGCATAACCACTGGTCATACTAGACAAATAAATATCAGTTTAGACTAATTTGCCACAATTGTGAACAATAGAATATTAGTGAATATAAAGATGTAGTGTATTAGTAGCCCAAGCAGAAAATAATCATGTAAAATTAGCAAACAAAGTAATGTCAGCTAAGTACAAAATTACTTAGTTTGCTAACATAAACTAACATAAGCTACTTTTCATACCACACCATACAGAATGAATCAAACTGATTAAAACATCAGCTATTAAGGAAATTAAAAAAATAATTTTAACTGTTGAAAAAATGAAAGATATTTACAGAAAGTGAAAAAACTAAGACTGATCAGTAGCCTAACCTACACAACTAAATTAAAAGTGTGCTAACTCACACTAGCCCCCAAAAGCCTGCGTCTTACTGAGCAAAAGGAATATGAGACTACAAGTTACAAGACAATATTAAAAAGTATTGTAGCGTTAGCATGAGAAGAGAGGACTCATTTAAGGTTAGAAAACTGGCTCAATTAGCTAGTAGGCTAGATTTCTTAAGTATGCTAGCCTTAGCTATTTAAACATGTCAGCTTTTTTAGTTCACGACCAAGCAGAATGCATTTCAGTGAGACTATGGCCACTGGTTTTATTTAGATAATTTAGATCATTAAAATGTTTTACAAAAGTAGCAAAAGTTTAAAAAAAAAAGTTCAGTAGAGTTTAGTTAAACAGCTCACTTTGCAATGACAAAGACTTTATAAAGTTAGCTAATTTAGCTTGCATACGTTAGCCTAACAAGCTGCTAGTGATGCAGGAGCAAGCAACACTGTTGAAGTAGTATTGAAGTAGTATCTATTCAAGTTTTGTAGCTTTTGAATTCAACCAAATATTTCTGTTGTTTTGTTTTTAAGGTAAAATAACCTTGCTTCACCCCAAATTGTTTGGCTGTGTTGTCATTTACCTAAGAGATAATAAAAGTCAACACGCTGAACACTTCACCCTGGTCTTCTCTTTAAAGCTGAGACACTCCCAGCCTTGTAAACTTTACCAGTACATCTCCACCCACTCCTGACTTTCCAAAACACAACTTAAAAAAAACAAAAGTGCTAAATAAGAATACCCGCACCCTGCCTCTAAGTGTTGTTGAATACAATTTGGGAAATCATTCTTGCGGGAGCTTCATCAACAGCTGGATCAGATGGAGCTTGAGAATACCACTCACTCATTTACACATCCAAGAAGATTCAGTCCACACATACCAACATGGTCTGATAAGCTTGTTCGACAAAGACAACCAATGTCTTGTGCATTTTGTATGTTAGAAGGGGAGCCGTTGAAGATGAGCTAGTTTTGTTTGCTTGTCTATTACAAGACATCCTGCCTGCCTGAGAGGAATTAGTGTCTTAATTCTCTGGTATTCTGAGGCTGAAATTCCAAACCTGTGAATCAGAACCGGCTGCTTTACTGCAACTCTAGCCCTCTCAAAACAAGGAATATACTGTATTGACATTTTAATGGGATTAGAATGAGCAAGAGTGTGTGCGAATGAGTTTGAAGGTCAGACAGACCTGTTTATTTGCGTTAGAAGGAGGACATGCTCCTGCTGACTGTGACTGTGACTCACTTGGATCACAGAAAGGAGGCCGGATAAGATCACTGATTGAGCTCTTACTAGCCCCCAATCCCCAAACTTTAAAGTGGCCATATAAATCAGGAATAGACTATCTCTGGCTACACTAGAAGTGAGTCAAAACTAGCATAAGACTGTATTTATGTGTTTTGGAGCAGTTTCAGGTGATTACGTGCTACAGAACTCTTCCAACCATCACGTAATGTTTAAATGACCTTAATGAAAGAGCAACAAAGGAATAAACAAAGGTGCAATGTGATGCTTGCATCTGTCAGAAAACAGTGATCTCACTGGTCCTGCTGTTTTGCTGCTAGTCCATGTGACGGTATGTTCTGTGTGTTTGTAAGCGTGTTTCTCATCTAGTCAGACAGGAGCTCTTGAATTAGTCTGAGTAATGTTAAGAGCTGCTTCTGGTTAGCCAGAATTTCATTCTCCTTCCATTCTCTCATTTCTCGCCTTTCTCTTCTACATGGTTTCACTCCTGTCTTCAACAAAACAACCTAGGCACACACACACTTCATTCACCCCTTAATCAACAGCAGTCCTCCACTGACTCACCATCCTTTCACTCCAATCATCGTTGTTCCACTGACAGGATGTTTTGTGCAGTGCAAAAATGCTCTCAAGTGTGTGTTTGTGTCTCTCACCTGTGCAGCCTGTGGTGCCCTTGCGTACAGAGTATCCCAGTTCACAGTGACAGATGAAGGATCCCTTTGTGTTCTCACAGTTCCCACTCAGACAGATGTTTGGGTTCAACTCACACTCGTCCACATCTAAACAAGGAGGGAAAACAAGAATTAAAAGAAAAAGAGTGAGAATGCTAATTTGCTAAAAACAACTGCAATAAATAAAAATCTGTTACAATAATTGAATCTGAAGAAGCTGCTGCAGAGGTGGCCTGCCAGAAAGGTTCTGATGGGATATGTGTAAGCGAGTCACAAAAGATAACATAATGAACTATATGAAGGCTTTGAAATATGTTTACTTTTAATAAATAAAGCAGTAATGTGAGCATGTGTTTGTGCAGACGCGTTCAAAAGCATTTAAATCACTGATGTCAGGTTTTGTTTTCTCTCTCAGTGGAACCAGACGTCTAAATGTCATGCATTCCTCCCTGCAAACCCCAAATCACACAATGTTCGCTGTCTTTAAAATTAACAAGAACAACATTACTCTCTTCTTTCTCACACACAGCCCCGTAGATCTGACTCATTAAGTCACTTTCTCATGACTCATATCTTGGAAATCCCATTTGTTGATCATTTTGTCTTTTCAGTAAATCTCTGAGAGCTGGATCTACTTATCGCTGGGGAAGCTGCAGCGTATTATTTTATGAATTGCAATGCGAGTCGATTACCCAGGCAAGACTTCATATCCTCTGATGACATGAAACCGTCAAAGCACAGACACTGGTACGTCCCTGGGGTGTTGGTACACTGGCCACCATCGCAGATTTCTGGGCTCTCCTCACACTCATCGATATCTGAAGATTAAAGACAGAGACATTCAGATGAAACTGAAATGGGAAAATACAAAGGACAAGAAAAAAACTGTTCTTACAACGTATAATTCAGGTGGGAATGTTGAAGTAAAGTTAACCATACCCAAATATGGGTATGAAAAGAACTTCTGGTGTACATTCACTCATCTGTATTCTCTTAAATCAACAAGGTCAGTTCAGGATCCAGATGTAATTTCAGCCTATCTTCTAAACAAACTACACTGAAATTTACCCTGCACTGCCTTGATCTTTGATTCTATATCTGGATCTGCTAATTAAAGGAGTGGCAGGAGTAAGTATGAACAACATGTGAAGCCTGCCCTCAGGGGTAAAAACTTTATACCCTCTAAGCAAGAAATGCAATTTACTCGACTGATATATAAGCATTACTATCATTATTGAGTAACATTTTGAATCTGCAATCAAAAGGACAGGTTAAGACTGTGTCTTTAGCTCTCTGCATGATTTCTTTGAGCACATTCCAGTTAAATCAAAGCATTACTCTCTATAAACCTGGTTTCTTGATCTACGGCTTCTTTCCAGCTTTTCAATGTGGTGTCTCTTAACTGTGCCCTTGATCTACTTCAGGGCTATTAGGAGGAGGTGCATTATGAATGAATATGGAATCAGAGATGCAAACACAAAACGACTTACCAGTGCAGCTTCTCAGATCCGGCATCAAGGCGTATCCGATGTGGCAGCTGCATTCATAGCTTCCCTCTGAGTTGGTGCAAAAAGTCTCACAGCCACCGTTCTCTATAGTGCACTCGTCAATGTCTGAGAGGCAAAAAAAGATTCATTAACATGATATACTGCTAGGACTTAACCTTCAGATTGTATCCATAGTAACAAAAGCAATAGCTTTGAAAGAAAGTGATGATACATAGTTCAGTACGCACCGACACATTCCAGTCTGTTCTCAGTAGATTTGTATCCTGTGTCACAGGTACACTGGTAGCGACCGATCATGTTGACACATTGGCCGTTCCTGCACAGCCTGTCGCTCAACTCACATTCATTAATATCTGTGAAAGAAAAAGCAATAATTACATTCTATCACACATTTTTTAATGACTTGTGATGAACCATATGTTTCAAGCTAAAACAATCAGTATCATATTTTCATGATCGCTAAAAGTGGAAATCCTTAAAATCAGCAAAAGTCAGTTTATGGAATCTGTTACGTGCTCCTCGATGCTAACCAGTCGCCCTTCATAGTTTGACTGAGTAAGGCACCCATCTATGGCTGGCACTAACACCTTTTTTTCATTTTCATTTTTCTGTTGGGTCCAAGAAAGTCAATAAAAAATAAATAATAAAGGAAATTCACATCAGAAAGACCCCAACCCCAAACAACAAGTTCAAATTCATTTTTTAATCTCCCAGAAAACCAAACCAAACTGTTCAATTTAAAAGTCATTCATTTAAATACTATGGAAGTCCAAAAAACAACAATTATTCCTACTTGAAAGCTGCGGTAATTTGTTGACAATGACTTAAACAACTAATTGATTGTCAACATGGTTTAATTTGAACTTAGTAGCCATTTAAACTCCACGCCCACAAATAATTGATCAGTTAGAGCTCTTAATGGTGTATAATTATTTTAATGTCCACCCTCTTGAGAAGAATGGAGTACAATGAATACCAACAACCGGAGGTCAGTTTGTGACCGATGTTTCATTGCGGATTTCAAATCAAATGGTGATAAATGAGTCACTAGCAACGTGACATCATTGAGCACACTGTGTCACACCCCTCTGTATGACATCTGCTAAACAACCAAAGTTTATCATCATTACCATCATTTAAACAGTGCAGTTCATTGCCTCACCAAGGACAATAAGGACCATTGTCTTAGATGGGGCGAGATGGGCAGTGTTCACTGATGCTTTCATTGTTTTTATTTCTCTGGGTGGTAATAAAGACAAAAAATGAGCTTCGGGGCAGCGAGTTAGCATTAGGTCATGGACCGAAACCTTGACACACTCCATTAGGTCATCAGAGTGACACCCAGTGATTAATGCATGATCAGCCAAAGTCTATAAACTGCACGTGAGGAGTATTAAACTATACAGTGCACAAGAGAATTAAAGGTCTACTATCTTGGGGACAGAGCTAGAAATGTAAGTGTCTGTGGATCATTAGCATGCTAATAATCAAGGATGACTCACATCAGAGTCGTTAACCCAGTAAGCATGCTAATGATCCACAGAGGCTTACATTTCTCAGATGACTCAGAACCTACTCAGACAAGATGGCTGTATCTTTGTCAAATATCCTACGAGTACAAGATAAGGCCAGACATTTCAGATCTTGTTTTTTTAAAGGCATATGAACAGAAGAAGATAGAGTATCACTCAAACAAATACAAAAAACAATCACTTTTTTTTCTTTTTTTTCAGGACCTAACAAAAGGTCAAATTATAAGCACGCACATTTTAAAGCTGCTGTAAATAAATTTTTCCTCCAACGATTTTCTTTTGTCTTTATCATGCTGAGATCTAAGTAGACACTTATTTTGCAAACATAGATGAAGTCACACACACATGGTCCTGAGTTCATATCAGCCCATGTGTTAGAGAACATCTATCTCACACGTACAGAGCCCTGACTCTGACACTCTCACCCCTGATCGGCCCCACTGAGGCCACACACAGAGGCAGACGGAGGGAGGTACCATGAAAAGCACACTTCTCTTTCAGACTGCCTGCTCTGTGACAACGTCTCAACCTCTGCACGTCTTTTCTCATTCTTCGGTCTTTCTTTCATCTCCAAAGAAAATAAAGTCGAAACCATACTCAAGCACAAAAAAAACTCTCAAAGAAAGAAGATTAGAAAAAGGTTTAGAGAAGAAGTGTCTGCCAGACTCTCCTCTCTGATGATGATCATCACTCACCTAGACAGGCCGAACCATCAGTGGCGATCTCGTGTCCTTCAGGGCAAATGCACTGGAAGCTGCCCTCTGTGTTTTCACATTCACCTCCACGGCACAGCAGAGGGTTTCTCTCACACTCATCGATGTCTAGAGGTGAAAGAAACATTATGAAAGTATTGAAAATTCTAACGACCAAGAAAATCATTGTGAAACACATTTTTTGAATTTCCAATGAAGCCCATCAAATTCAAATATTCTAATTTGTGTTTATTTTTCCAAAGCCAGCTTCAGGACGCTCTGGCACAACTACAGGTCAAATTCATCTCTGTTACACCGTAATCTTGTTCATGAGATTAAGAGAGATTAAGGGAAAGAAATTTACAGCTTTGTGCTTGGCAGGGGGGACAAAATAATAAATTTTTAAGAAAAAATGTTCAAAAAGGGTTTGTACTTGTTAGTTGTTTTCCTTAGCCTGCTCGTCCAGTCAGTCCAGACGGCTCTTGATTGCAACCCAGCCTACGTTATTTCCAACACCAGCTGCTTTTGTGGCCACAGCGTGCGAGTAAATTTGTCTCGCCAATTTTGGCCTCACGGCGGCTTTACGCCAACAAAAGTATTGAGACTCTCCATTTTGTGTGTACGATTTCTCCCAAGAATTTAATCAAACGGCGTCGAAAAGGCAGCCCAGAGCAAAAAATAGAGCATCAAGTATTTTCACAGATGGCAGAACATTAGGAGTTTAGCTTCATATATAAAAAAAATCGTATTCCTGGGTAGATGATTGTGTTCCCCGCATATATGCAGTTTAAAAATGTAATAAAGAACAATTATCTTTAAGACTTTATGGCGCAGTTTTGCAAAGCAATTGTGACGACACCTGGAGTGTGCGGACTAGACCATTTCAAAACTTGCAGAGGTTACATAAAGTCTCTTTAATTCTCCTTCTCTCTAACACGACCACATTTATATACAAATGCACACAGCCTGGAAATTTCAGATGACATCAGACGTCTAAACAGAGAGTTTCAGGTCTGGCATGTTCGCCTAAGCACCTCATCCAGAGCTTACTGCCCATGAGGGAGCGAGGAAGAGACGGCAGGGTTGTGATGGGGACTTGGATTGTGCGGCAGGCTTTCCCTAAACTTTATAGGTTGGCAAAGCTTTTCTTCTGCTCTCAGAAGATGCCACTTAAACAGGGTGTGCTTGAGAGCCTTTAAGGAGATCGGGTTTCTAATTCATGTCCAAAAAGACTTCATGATTTCATGTTAAGCAGCGCTGCCTCTGCATGTAACTGGACTAAATCGTCTTGAGCAGAAGAATTTACTAAATGTGTGTATTTATAGGGTCTGCAGGTGTTGGTGTGTCAGAGTCTGTCACTCACCCATGCAATTCTTCATCATCATGAAGCCACTTTCATAGCCTTCGAAGCACTCGCATTCAAAATCTCCTGGTGTGTTAAGACACCTGCCTTGTCCACACAGGTCCGGGGAGATGCGGCACTCGTCGATGTCTGAAGGGAAAGAAATGCAACAAAACTCAGACACAAAGAACGTTCCTTTAAAAGAGCACAGGAGATCCCTCAGAGAGCTACTCTGGTTTATTTTAAACTCAGAGACGGAGGAGATATGGTGAAAAGGATTAGTAGTCAAAGAAACTAAGCGATCCTTTGCAATGTTAGGCAAACAAAGCATAAATTCTCAAAAGGTTACAACATAAATGAAGGCTATAAAATGAGATCAAGAGCTGAATTGAAGATGGTTCATGCAGACTTGACTCTTCAAACAGATTCTTCTCAAGTCTAAAGCTAAAGGCCTCATCTCTTTTGAATTTAATCCACATTTTCAAACACTTAACAAAAAGACTCTGGGCTGGGATCTCACTCATGTTGGGTTAAAAGGTCCCAGATATCATTTACTTACTAAGAGCCTATAAATTATTTGAGAATAAATGCATGGCAGTGGAATTTAAACCTAAAGCTATGTGTGCACATTTAAGCAGAGGAGTAATGTAGCTAAGCAGACTACAGGGACTGGCTCCAACAAGTCCAAAGCAGCCAGACTGCCATTAAACCGAATGAGCTGGATGTAGGCAAAAGCTTAACACCACTTTGCTGTAATCAGTGTTGGGAGAGGGGTTCAGAAAGGGAGGGGGACTGATGGAGTGTGGTTCGACTTGTGAGGATACAATGGAGTTAAGATATTGTCATAGCTGATGTTGAGCAAACACTGCAGCCAAAAACAGCAGCTACATGTATACACGCTCTTCTAACAACTGAAGAATGAACCATTTCTGAATTAATGAGCTTGGAAGTACTCATCAGTTAGACTGCATCAGAAAATAATGGAATATGTCCTTTTTTCAGAAGATGCCAAAACACCAAAGAGTAAATAAACAAGAAAAAGAAACGAGAATATAAACTGTGAAAAACAACACATAATCACATTGGAGAAGTAGTCAGCATGTTTGTTTTTACAAGTACTTAAAAGTTGACTGAAGCATCAAATTGTTGTTGATTAATTTCTTTATAAGCTCATTGACTGAACCACTTAACAGCAAACTGCTTCAGTCAGTAATTCTCACCAGTGCAATTTCTCTCATCCGAGTCCAGGGCGTAGCCGTTATCACAGCGACAGCGGAAGCTCCCGATTGTGTTTCTACACCTTCCATTTGAGCAGAGGGTGTTTATCATCCTGCATTCATTTATATCTAAAGTAAAGAGCAGAAACACAGGTGAAAGAACGGTCAGGAAACGAATCAGTGAGTTTGATCCGGTCTGTGGATGTCACCTTACCTTTAAGGAAAGGTCTGCCGTTGATGAAGTCGCCCCTGTGTGAGAAGCCTGGGCCTCGAGGACAGAGCTGGGTGTAGTCCGGAGTTCCCTTCTCAGGACATTCATCACACTCGGGGCCCCAGGCTACACCCACCGAGCAGCAGCAGGCGTCCACACGGTGCTTCCCTGAGATAGGAGTCCCACAGCGCTCGTCCTCGTGGGTGAGGTAACACTGCTCTGTGCGCAGGTCTGGAAAACCACAGACGCATCATTTACATTATTAGTTTACATTAAAGATAGATGAACCAGGTCTAGCTCCACTACATCTATGCTGCACCCACCAATGCACGTCCTGCCACTGACATCCACAGTCATTCCAGGAGGGCACTGGCAGAAGAAGGAGCCTGGCGTGTTGATGCACTTTCCATTGATACACACTCCGGGAAACACTTGACACTCATCCACATCTGACAGTCAGAAGAGAAAAACCAGAGCAGGATCAACAACAGCTCCAGTGTTTCAAGTCCCTCACATTAAACACAAGCGGTCTGAATTTCTGTGTCTACATGGACGTTACCTTCACAGACATTTCCTTTCACTCGAGCTAAGCCTTTACCACAGATTGGATCTGAGAATGTTCAAAGCACACAATACAGTGTCATTCAATGCTGGTAACTGGTAAAATCAGAATGTGGTTAGAAAAGTGTGTATATTTGTCATTTCACCTTTTTCACATTTGGCACACGGGCTGTTCCAGGCCTCTCCAAGCGTAGCGCAGCAGTGTGACTTCAGAGTCGCCCCATTGATGTTGACCTCACAGCGATCATTCACTATCTTCAACCAGCATGTGCTCTTAGTTGTCTCTGTTTTATGAAACAAAACCTCTACTTACTACACATTTATGTAGAAATAGATAGCATGTGTTGTAATGTGTGAAATCAAATCATTTTTGATTATAGCCAAACATTAAGAGAGACAGCTGTGTGCTGTTTAAGCCCATTTTGTCCAGGACTTCATCATATCTACATCAGTCATTTGTGAAAAAGATCACTAGTTTTACTCCTTGAGTTCATTCAAGTGTTTCAAGTTTCAGATCTATTTTGCCTGGAAACAAGAAACTCCTGCACACAGCCATCTCCACCTGCAATTATGGGAAATCTGACAAGAATGTAACCACCTTCATCAGGTTACTTTACAAATGAATAGGAGCGACTATCTCTGCCTCATTAATTAAAAACTCATTTTAAATGTAGGAAATATTAACATGGCATCACAGGCCTGTCATTTATATAGATAGAAATCATGTGTTCACAGCAGCCTTCATCAATATTTTCAATATATCAAATATCCGACTGAAGCTGCAAGAAAACTTGAAGACATGTCCACTAGAGTCTGTCTCCAGGAGTTTATTTTGCTTAAAAGTTATGGAAAGAGCGGGATGCTGGTGGCGCAGTGGTTAGTGCGCGCACCCCATGTATGGAGGCTGTCGTCTCAAGCGGACGGCCCGGGTTCGCCTCCCGCCTGTGGCCTCTCTCCCGCATGTCATTCCCCACTCTCTCTCTCCCTGGTTTCTGACTCTATCCACTGTCCTTCTATCCATTAAAGGCACAAAAAGCCCAAAAATAAATCTTGAAAAAAAAAAAAAAAAAAAAAGTTATGGAAAGAGCTTGATTTTGGTGATGATATAAAACTCAAACAACACAAAGTTTACTTACCGATACACTCCAGTCCAGAGCTGTCTAGAGAACTGCCGAGTGTACACAAACACACATAGGAGCCTGGGCTGTTCATACAGTCTCCATTAATACACGGGCTAGACTTACATTCATCCACATCTGAAGGAGACAAAAACACACCCCACATTTTTCCCCCATTAAATTGTCTATCTCTCATTCTTCTAAAAATGCAGACATAGTACATGCAGTGATGAAATGTGTTACAGAACGAAGGAGTTTCTGACCCTCGCAGATGTCTGTCTCAGGATCAAACCGGTATCCTTTGGGGCACTGACAGGTGAAACTGCCAGGTGTGTTCCTGCACAGACCGTTTTCACACAGCAGTCTGTTCATCAGACACTCGTCAATATCTAAGGATAAAAACACAGCAGAGACAATTGATGACTTTCCTCACCTTGGCTTTGTGAGGGTTGTAATTCTTAATTTTCTTGGCGGATGAGGACTTTGAGAACAGTGAACCTACCAACACAGTTTTTGCCCGTCAGGTCTACTTCAAATCCTTCATTGCAGGCACATTTGAAGGTCCTCAACATATTCTCACACACGCCATTCTGGCATATGTCAGGGTCGAGTGCACACTCGTTTATATCTGTAAAGGCACAAAACATTATCGAAGGAATAGAGCTCAAGTAATGATCACATTTCATTTATCGAACTTAGTTTGGTCCATTATGATATCAATGAAAAATACAAATGATGATTCTGAGTTCTTTACCTCTTCCATCACCAGTTATGCCACCCCCATTGGGGCACAGAGCCAGGAACTCAGCTGCAAAAAAGAAAAAAAAAAAGCACAGCTCAGTTGATAAAGAGAAGAAATTACAGTGTTTCAGAAACTTTCACATTTTCCAAAATCTAAGAGATCTCAAGAGGAATCATTAAATAGCATGTCATTATCCATTTCCATGCTTTCTCATTAAGCCTGGATGTATAATAAAACCACCTCCTTAACGTGGTGCAGCGCTGGCATCTTTTGATACAGAAACTTTAATTTGCAGGACTAATGACAAGTGACTGTGTGTGTGTGTGTGTGTGTGTGTGTGTGTGTGTGTGTGTGTGTGTGTGTGTGTGTGTGTGTGTGTGTGTGTGTGTGTGTGTGTATAAATGTATGTGTGTGTGTGTCTGCATCTGTGGAGGATGTCAATGACTTTTAACAATAGGAGTTTCTGTCTTCTTACCCTCGTTTCTGATCTTGTCATTTTGTCATGTATGTGTCTTAAATCAAACACAAGCTCTTTGTTTTTATGTGTGTGTTTCTGTTACAGGCAGCAGGAGGTTGCTCCACATGTATAAAGGGTGGAGTGATTTGAATATCCGTACCAGAGCTTTGTGGTGGGCAGGGTTGGCAGGGTTCTCCGTAGGCGTACTCTGTGCTGGCGCAGCAGCACTCCGACTTGGTCACAGCTCCAAATAAAGGCCTAACACACTGCCCTCGCTTGTAGCCACCATAACAAGAACTGCGCATATGCGTGTCTGTTTTGGGGAAAATGAGACAGACGGAGTTTGTGAGAAACGCAGATGAAGCAAGAGATCTGGAAAGAGGGTAGAGATGGATTGAAAAAAGAGAGGAGGGAGGCAAGGGTCCATGGCTCCAATAAACAACAACACTGGCAAAACAAACGGCTGTTCTCTCTCCATAATATCCTGGGATTTGAAGCATTCTCGTGCGCTGATATCATCCTGTAGAAAAGTCACCCAGACTGAACAACAGCATTTCAACACTTCCAGCACAATACACAAAGAAATGTCATTTACGGGGGATATAGGAATGTTGCAAATAAATAGTTCCTGAGTGCCAGTCCAGGAGATTGGAGCACAAGGAGGCAGGACAACATTTATCAAAACTGATCAAAACATGCTGACTAATGATAATGAGCATGTGTTTGCAGCAGGTAAACAGGATGGGATGTTTGTGGTAAAGTTTATTAAAATGTCATTTTGTCACTTTCAGTTTAGCTGAATTTCTCACTCAACTGGAAAATATTTGTACCGAGGTTCTAGCTCAAATAAATAAGACAGCTGGGAGATGAAACCTCGCAAATTGAGACAAACATTTTGATAAAAGCTTCGTCAGATCAGAGAAAATAAATTTAAACCTAAACATGTGTGTTTGTAGAAAACAGCTGGAAGTACCATTTCTTTCCCGAACTTAGTCAAAGACATTTTTTAATCAGACACATTTTAAAGAATAAATCTGGACAAATTTGCTTGTATGACTTACGAAATGCATGACTGTAAAGCTTCTTCATGAAGTGAGGGAGTTAGATGGACAAATGAACACATCAACACATTCAAATTGTACTCACCAACACAGACCCGTCCATCCAGGCCAACAGCCATCCCGGCCATACACTCACAGCGGAAGGATCCCTCCGTGTTGAGGCAGTGGCCGTTCATACACATTCCTGGAGTCTCACACTCATCAATGTCTACAAACAGATGCAGAGAATTATTCATTCAAACATTTCTGTCCTAAAAATGAATGGTCAGAGGCCAGAAACAATTTAAAGTAAACCATTTCCTGCTGAAAATGTAGTTGCTAAAGTCCCCCAGATACTGGGTTTATTAAGAACACAGCCAAGGGGCGCAGATGGCCTAACGGTTAGATCGCCCCAGAGGCTAAAATCCTTCAAGCGGGCGGCCCGGTTTCAAGCACGACCTGTGGTTCCTTTCCCTCATCTCTCCCCAGTTTCCTACTCTATCCACTGTCCGATCGAATAAAGGCAAAAAGCCCCAAAATAAATCACAAGTTTCCTCAACTAAGAAAAAATGTGTTTCCTTGACCTTGATCTCTAACAATAATTATCATAATGAGCATGAACAATGATAGGACGTGCACATATCTAGTGTGTGTTCTGAGTGGGTGTGTAAGGGGAAAACCAAGACTGCAGATGGAGATGAAGAGGCCCCAGGGCCCCTTTTAGACTACACAGTTCATTAATGACTGCATACATCAGCACACTTCACCCACACCCTGCTCTCCTGTTTATTTATTCTGCCCTGACTTAACCAGGTCAGTGTCTCTGAGATCAAACGTCTGTATCTGCAGCGTTGTGGAACAAGATGGTGGAAATAAAAAAGAGTTTTCTTCCAAGGACATTTGTTGATTGAAGGTTAAAATGTTACAGTAATTTTAACAGTCTCTGTTAGAGCAATATGACAAAATTGTTGGTCAAATACTATGTGACACACAAGTTTTTGTCTCCCGATCAAACAGCTGACCATTGTTGCTTGTCGTGTCAATTTTAAAAGGCTCAATCTCGTTTCATTGCCCTGAATAATTTTAGGAAGGCTGTCTGCTGGAATCTGAAAAAAGGCGGGCCCAAACTATCCCCAGTCCAGCTGGCTTGCCAGGATGCTGAGGGATTTTTCCGTGGTTTTTAAGGGGATTTTTGGCTTGTTGTTTAATGCTGGAATAATAGAAGTACTAACATTACAGAGAGGTTAGCTAGCTAAAAATACAGGTCGAATAACAGTTGACTCAAAGTATATTCTGGTGGTGTAGAGACGTGATTTTAATAATCCGTCAGTCCGTGGGCTGTCTGAGAAACACACCTACACACATGCGTCCACTCGTGTCCAGCAGGAATCCAGGTTTACAGATGCACTTGAAGCTGCCATCTTCATTGATACACAATCCATTGAGGCACATATTCCTGATCAGACACTCGTCCTGGTCTGTGATTGAACACACACACACATTGAAAGATTGGTAAACAGTGCATTAAGACATAAAGATACAATGGTTACAGGCACATACTGGTGGTTTTGCATGGTTGAGTCCGATAACAGTACATTTTATACATGTTTCCTTTATGACCGTCTTGACAATCAGTTTGTCACAGAGCTTGATTGAGCTCAATTGAAGTCATATTGTTGCTGTCTAACAATGCATTAGCAAGCTAACACTATTTTCAAAACCCTTCGTAGTAGATTTCAGTTCTCTAACATTAAGGAACTGGATGTTGAACACCAAAAGATTACATCGGCGAGCTACAAATTCTGATAGAAAATCAAGTCTAGAAGAAAAACACAAAGAAAACACATAAATCTGTGAAAAATGTGGAGAATTGAGCAGCCAACTCTGTCATTTTGGATTTTGAACCATTCCTGAGCAACAGGCAAAATTTTACAATACACCCCCGACTGACAACCTAATTCCTACATATACATAATAGAATGTGACATAAGAAAACAAGAGTATTCTCAATCAGAATTGGTATTTGTAGCTGCTCTAAACAGCCAACTATGGTCGGCTTGGTCCAACACTGTTATCAATACTTCAAAGCCGTGTTTTAAAAAATCTGGGAAAACTGCATATTTTCACACAGCCTATCCTTGAAGGCATTTATAAAGTTGCCTACACTTGTTCCCAAGAAAAAGTGACATAAATAAATGTGTCTAGAATAAAAAATAAAGAGCCAGAGAGAGTAAAGGCAAGGAATGGGGTTAGAGTTCACTGGCAGCTCAATGGGAAAAAGGGTGTTCTGTGATAAACTACCTAGCTAAAGCAAGTTTAATAGCATTGCAAGTTTTCAACACTTTATAAAAACTAAAATTAGCTGAAAAATGTGGATGCATGGGTCCTTTGGAAAAAATCAGTGATATAAAATGAGTATATTTTGCACTAAATGGGCTAAAACACACAAAACCACCAGCATGATCCTTTAAAATGACATCTCTTACAGAACATTCCTTCAACAGGCATTGGTATTAAATAACCTCACTCAAGAGATCCATGGCCCATTAAACCTAAACATTACACATGCTGACGTTATGACGGAATGCTACACTTTAAAAATGTCTGTACTCTATAAATGTAAAACTTGACAGACCTTGACAGTTCTTGCCATCTGATGAAATCTCAAAGCCAGCATTGCAGACACAGTGGAAGCTTCCCACTGTGTTTACACAGCGGCCGTTGTTGCAGATTCGACCGTTGGCCACACACTCATCCAGATCTAGCAGAAATAAACAAATGGTGTTGTAAACACATACATCCTCTTTAAGTGTGTGTTCGTGTGTGCGTTGTGTGCTTGTGTGTGTGTGTGTGTGTAACCTCGGCACTCTGTTCTGGTTGCTGTTGTCTGGAATCCAGCGGGGCACTGACAGATGTAAGACCCGGGCGTGTTCACACACTCTCCATGTGCACAAGGGTTTCGCTCACATTCGTCGTCATCTTTAAAAGAAACATAAAGCTCATTACATTTTTCCGTCTTTAATTTTCTCCATGCTCTCCGGTGGGGTCAGAAACTTCTTCCTCAATCTGTCAGTTCTTACCTACGCATTCTCCTCGCGAATCCAACTTGAAGCCCATGTTGCACTCACAGCGATATCCAACGCCTGGCATCGGAATACACCTACCATTCAGGCAGAGGTTGCGATAGGCCTGGCACATGTTGGTGATGTTCTGAGTTTGGATAACGGGACCTAACAGAAACATTTACACACATGCATCATGGATGGATCACAAATTGGTTTCATAAAAAAAAGATTACAGAAAAAATGACATATTAGGAGAGAAGTTGTGAAGGAAACTTTACATTTCAATTGCCCCGAATATGGAAGAATAGTTTTTAAAAAGCATTGCCAAACACAATACATCTAAACTGTACTAGAATCTGGCAGGACCTTCCATTATTTACATTGAGGCACTGCTGTTAGCATAAACTTGGCCAAACGATGAAAATGATTTAAGAGGAAATGTTGTTGCACAAGATTTTGAAAATGGCTCATTTGACTCTGGACATAGTTGAGTATGCAATTATGAAAGAATGTCCTCTTTCAGATCGTATATTTTCTGCACATTCACTTAGGATTTGTTAGTACCGACACTCAAATAAAGTAGGGAACTCTATATTAGGAAACAACCAAGACTTAGTCGAAGGTCAAGTTTCCCTTCATTAACATGTGACTTTTTAGCTAAATGGCATGAAACAGAAAAGTGCATTGGGAAGCCAAGCAACGCCAATCCACTGATTCACACCAGGAATTGTGACTTATTAGCTTTGACGGCTTAAATGTAAACTTTGAAGAATTAATTTATAAGTAGAAAAATTAACCAAAGACGAGCAATAGGAAGTGCTGACCTGGCAACGGAGGCTGTAGAGGTAGCTGTCCTGGAAATTGTGGATATTGTCCTGGCCCTGGGAATTGGCCTGGAAAAGGACCTGGATATTGGCCTGGAATATGACCAGGTACTTGACCCGGGATGGGAATTTGACCAGGAATTAAGGGCACCTGGCCAGGACCTTGAGCAGGTGTTTGACCAGGATACGGATGTAGGTCGGGGCCTCCTGGAACACGACCAGGTACAAACCCTCCACCGTTGCCATCAGGTATCTGGATGCACAGTTTCTGGTACTCCTCTAAAAGAAGCACATGGGAGAAAAATCAGGAGGTAAAATCCAGAGTTGAGAAACAGATACATACTGTATGAGAGAGAGAGAGAGATGTTAAAGGCCATGAGATGTTGAGGACCCCACCTGTTCCACGGATGGGACACATTTCAGGAGCTGACCCATCAGACCAGCAGCGTCCACTGTCACAGCAGCACTGCATTTTAGTCAACGGCTGTGAGTTTTGGTTGGCGCAGCGCCCATTCAGCAGGCTAGCGTAGCAAAACCCGCCACGAGCATCTGTGGGAAACAACACAGCATGACGTCCGTTAAGCTAACCCTTTTGTTTAGAATATGGCATGTGTTGTCTGCATGTAGAGCAAATTGGCACAAGTACAATCAAAAAAGCAGTCATCATAGCTTCAGATTTTCCATCATTTGAAAGATGGAAGCCACTTCAAATAGTCATCATTTCCTATTTATGACAACCTTTCCTGCATCCTGCAGTTTCTGGCACTGTGCACTGGTGTGACTAACACTCAGATTCCCTGCTAACATAAATATAACATGTCTTGTTTCAAACCAAGCTCATACTGTACAGTGCATTTACATGGAGAGGCTTGGTGAATGCAATGCTGATTGCTCGGTTAAGCTCGACAAGATGTCTGTGAAGCGCAGAATTGGTTGGAGGACAATCAGTCGGTACCTTGAGGGGCCAGCGAAGATATTAATGCTTAAGTGTTGCTGCATGGGAAACTGGCTGAACTGTTTGGCGCAACAGTTTTCTGGAGCGAAAGACTCAGACATTCCTTCCTCAGGAACATCCTCTCCTGGGGGGGTTTGTAGCTGTGTGTGATTGCATATGTTTGTGTGTACGCATGCACATCTACGTATGTGCATGAACATTAAATGGGACCATTCTGACCCAAATTCCTCCCTGGTTTGTTTTGGGTCACTCTGAGCTGAACTTGCGAGCTGCACAGGCATTTCTGGTGACTGTGCGTGTGTGTGTGTGTGTGTGTGTGTGTTTGAATATATACACTGTTATCAACTTCCCAGGATGTGGACTGTTCAATGACACACAAGCAAACACTTCACTGTTCATCCAGACCGACTGGCAGTTGAACACATACTTGACTTTTTCCATCCATGATGTTAAAAAAAACAAAGCCATCTGAGCATGAGAAGCTAACCCTACTTCACTCATCACATTCTCTGAGTTTAAAGAAATATAGCTCATTGTTGTGGAAACAGTCAAGTGACTACTGACCTAAATTCTACCAGCTGGAACGCGAGAAAGATTTCAGTTCTTCCTTCTCTCAGTGCCAGCCGTAAAGGAAGAGAAGAACCAAAATGTGGTGGGAAAAGGAAAGATATTTTGCTTGACTATTTTTGTGTCACATATCCGATGTATAAACGAAAGAAAGGACAGGGAAGCCCATAGAGAGATGAGACAACAACAATGTATGAGGACTCACCTATACACCTGGATCCATCCACAGAGGTATAATATCCCTGTGGACACTTGCAGAAGTAGCTGCCAACAGTATTAGAGCATTCACCTACGCCACAGAGACCAGGAATGTTTGCACACTCATCCAGATCTACACAGAAGGGAGAAGGAAATTACTTTGTTTTTGTGTTTGCTTTGTTATCACTAATTCATCAAAAGATTTGATAAAAGAACGATTAAGAACAAAAAAAACGTAAAAAAAATGTAAATCTCGAAGAGAGTGACGAGCGGACATGTTGTTCCAATGAAAATGGAAATAAGCCATAGTCACAGGATATTTAATCTCCCCTGGCCTCCGTTGCTACTCCTCTGTTAGCACCATTGAGTGCAAACCATCATACACAGAGCCTGTTGAGAAATTCACTGTAACTCGTACTCGTTTAAAAAGTCTTTTACACAGTCCAGAAGTTTTCCTGCAATTATTTCTGGGCATAAAATCACACATATTTCACTCTGTAAATGGGTGCCACAAAACCCTGCTCAGACTGAGTTTTAACTTGGTCTGGAAATTGTCATATTCATGTCCTAATGAGCAGATATTTTTCACGGGCTTACTGTGGGCTTTATATGTGGTACAACAGAAGTGTAGCAGAGAAAAGGACTTTATTTAAGATTTGTCAGCTAAAAATGATAAATATTGTGAGTCTCTCAGTGGCTAAGCGCATGAAGTGTGAAAGATCGAACAATTCTGTGAGCCAGTCAGAATGGAATAATATAGTCGAAAAAATAGTTAGGATCCCTGGCTGTGAGAAAAATGTCTCTCCAAACTGACATGGAAAGAAATATCTTCTGGCTGTCTTGTGATTCATATTGTACAATGACAGCCCGGGCTGAGAAGCTGTCCCAAAGCAAGGTACTTTCCATTTGCATACACATAACTGCATAATAACTGCATATACTGCTAAACAAAAGACACAAAAACATTAGTCGAGAACATAAGTCAGTGTAATTACTCATTAAACAGCAATATTTACATTTGCTAATGTTATAGAATATTTACATTATCTAACATTAGCCGCCATAAGCTACTGGATATACCAGATGAGGTCAAGTTGTAGCAGTAAAACTCCTGATTTATTGAATCAGGCAGACGTGTCTTTAATGAATCATGACTTTCCATTTGTTAGGGGGAAATTTGTTATTTTTTCTTTCAGAAGTTCCGTAGTCTTGCTTTAACACATCCAGTATAGTATGAAAGATTTTCTTTTAAACATTACAATTAAGTGTTAAACAGGATTACTGAGAAAAAGCAGAGCACTGCTTTGGTTTAATTAAATGTATTTCAAGGGAAGGGCAAAGTGGCATTTGTGTGGTCTCTCCCCACAAAGTGATAATCAAAAAACCATGACTGAGGTGAAGTTAACCACATGTAGACGGATGTGGCTTTAAATGTACTTTAACGTTGTTAATTAGGAACCTTGGGGAAAAAAATGTTTTAGCCCACTCTATCATTCAAGTTCACGCTGAACGTCAGACATTTTACAGTTTTCGCCTAATGGCTGCTAGCTTGATTCCTACCTTCACATTTTTGTGTGACCTCGTGGAACTTGTGCCCAGCGGGGCATTTACATTCAAAGGATCCCACTGTGTTGATACAGTTTCCTCCTTGACAGATGCCAGGGATGGCCTGGCACTCATCCACATCTGTGCATGAAGAGCAAACAATCTTTAATCACATACTTGAGCAAATTCCTTATGTGTAAAAGAAGAAAAATGACACACACACACACACACACACACACACACACACACACACACACACACACACACATATAGACTTGCTTTTACACATAACTCTACACAAGCCTGTACGTTGATCCATTAAGTTGGGTCTGTTTTAATAGTCTGGCTTTGACTTTCCTGTGTTAAAAAGAGTGACAAAGGACAAGCAAAAGCAAGAGAGGAATGTCTCCTGCTGAAGAAACAGAAATCAAAGCCAAAGTATTCCAAGGGAGAGATAGAAAAAGGAAAGAAAACACAGAAAGAAGAGGTCTACACTCGTATTGAACTTGATGGTGAAATCTGTGATCCTGTGAGTAAATCTAAATTAATTTAATGAATTTCACAGATTAAAAACATAGGTCTCAAGCTGAAAACCTCCAAGAGGCTGTGACCTAAAGCAGTCTCTGGGTCCTGGCTCAGGTCGGCCTCCCCTGCAGAGGTTCTGATGTTGTTGGGTCTGGAGCAGGCAGGCTGAGGGCCGTCTTACCAGAAATGAGCTCTCCCACGTGGCACCGCCACTGACCCGTGTTACTGACTCTGACAGTCCTGCCACAGCAGGTATCTGCGGGCATTCCATACACATGCAGGAGGCACTGCCACCCACCCCAATTTAACCCAATTAGAACTAATCCTCTGGAGAGGGGATGATGGGTAGAGATGAGGGGATGACAAAGGGAGAGGATTGAAAGCAGACAAGGAGAAAGAAGGAGTTAAATGGACAGAGAAGAAGGAAACAGCTTGAAGTACTATACTTGAAGAAGGAGGGAGGGAGAGTGACAGGGAAAAAAAGAGACAAAAACAGAAAGAGAGACAGAGACGCTGAGAAACAGACTTTACCTTGGCACGCCCCGGTGCGGTGGTTTGGTATGAACCCTCTCCGACAGGGCTGAGGCTGAGCAGGGCACATCTCACAGGGGTGACCCCACGCCCGTCCCACTGTGGCGCAGCACAAAGTCTTTGTGCACACAATGCCTGTGAGCTGGCCTTGACACATCTGGTTATTCACCGAGGCGAAGCATGGCCCAGTACGGTAATCTGCAGAGGCAAAAAAAAAAAAAAGTTAGCTTTTTGGAAAACCTCTCTTTTGTCTCCTTGTTTTCAGTGAAAATGCAAAGCAAAAAAAAAAAAATCGTTTGGTAGCCGTCCATCACACAAAAGCAGAGAGAAGAGAGATTTGAAAAAAAAAAACATTACACCAAAACTTTGCAAAAATCAGCTAAGTCAAAGCTGAAACACCTGACCTTGATTCTGTGAGTGAATAACTGTCTCTGGCATTAGCAAACAGAAAAGCTCAAATTGAGTGTAATTTTGCATGACAGCTACAACTCACTCACATTATATGTGATGAAAGTGCTGCAGGGCTGACAGTAACACGCTCCATAAAGAATGTATTGTCTGTTCCTGGCATGTTAATTGGTTTGGCTCTCAGGTGCATTGTGCGTGCAGTTTAAGTATCCGTGCATATGTGTGTCTCTGAGTCGAGATAGGAAAGGAGTCTGGAAAAGCTTTCAAAGTTGTGTGGGCGGCTGTGGAGAGTCAGAGACACAAGCTTGAATAAGCGGAGACACACAGACAATGAAAAATCAATCTGGTGCACGCATTAAATGATCATCATATTCTCAGTTACCTGTATTGTGTTCTTCAGGGAAATTGACACATTTACCATGTGGTGTGCTGCTATTCTATTAAGCTATTTATCTATTTTCTAGTAAATCACAATCTACAGAACAAGTCACCGTCCCCAAGATCATCAGAGGTTGACTGACAGGGTGTGTCAAAGGAGCACAGAGGGTGATTTCCACACTAACTGCAGCGGCCTAGAAATCAAACTAAATATCTTTAGTTTGAAAAAAATTGAACTCAATAGTATGAAGAAAGTTTCCTCCCCTCTGTTCCTCTTCAAACTGGTTAAATCCTTATTCCCTTGTTGTCACTGCTTGCATGCATGTCTCCCCTTACTCTGTCCTCTCTCCAAACCCCACTCCCCAGTTGTGAACTCCCCACAGTTTTAACAAAATCAGTTTTTTTATCAGCTGAATGATTTGAAACAGAGATAGGTAAAAAAAAAAAAAAAATTTAAAAGAGAGAGAGAGAAAGAGCAAGGGAGAAAACTCATCCCTCCCAAAAGAATCTGGCCGAGATCCAAAGGCAAAAATCATTTCCACATTTCACGGCAGACAACAGACAGTGAGGGGAAAGAGGGAGACCAGTTCCAACGGCGCAGTTGTTTAAAACAAACGAGACATTGTGCGTTTCCCGTGTGGACCGGGGCCCAGCCCAGACCCGTCACGTGCACCACAGCCTCCCCGGTCTCACTGCTTCTGGCACCAGCGCTGTGTGAACAGAACTGGGTCATCTCTCCTTCTCCTTCGCGTTCCCTTCTGCTCAGGCTCCACTGGAGACCCAATGATGGGGATTTTTCATCTAACTCCCCTTCAAACAGTTATGGAAAGTATCTGCTAACTTAAGTACTCAAGTACATTTCAGAGGAGAATACTGGACTTCTGCAGTCACTAAATTCATTTAAGAGCAACCTGAAAATAACTACTTACTACTTTAGAATTATGCAGAATTTAAGGAACACTCTTATACTCTTGTGTGCATATGTGAAAACGGCTTTCTCTGAACATGAAATACAAATACATGTGCACAGTTCAACAGTCAGCTGAGGTAAACAGGGAGAAGCAGACAGCTGTTGAGTGAAAGTGGTGTCATTTCATCTGTCATCTCACTGTCTCTCTGTGAACGGCATACAGCTGGGAGATCCACCCATGTCCTGTACATCTGGGAGCAATCACACATGTTCACACACACACACACACACACACACACACACACACAGAGAAACTCAGCCAACGTCCCAACCCCTCGTTCGCAGCCGAGCCAAAGATGATCTCAAAACCGAACGAAACACACAAAAATGTTGCCCTGGTTTTTTGCTAAACCACTGCTCTACTTTTTGTAAACATGTTTCATATTCGTGTTGGTCTTTTGGTAAATAATCTTAATATGGAGGAGGCAGGTTTATTTAGACCCGTATAAACAAGCGATTTCATGTTTGTAAAAAGGTGTAGTTACCTTAAGAGCACAATACAAATGACATTTGAGTTTAACAACAACGACCACAGGAGGGAAGCCGATCGGGAAGTGGGTCAAAAGAGTTTCCTGGATTAACTCCAAAATGTTTGTACACACGCTCAAAAGTCTGTCCACCTTTCCCACCCTTCCTCAAACTAACCCTTGCAGATGTTGCTCACATAATCTTTACATACCTTAATATATGCGTAATGTGTGTTCTCATGTACCCGCGTACGCATATGTTTATGTGTGTGTATGTGTGTTTGTGTGTGTGTGTGTGTGTGTGTGTGTGTGTCCGTGTGTAATGGGGTCTTATATCTGGGTGCGGCCTTCCCTGTTGGCCCGTCAGCAGATTTCTTCATCCTCCCAGGACTAATGAGTTGAACACTTAAACATCCATACACACACTGACACACATATTTAGTTATCTGTCTACTGAGGTTTGCATTGGGCTAGAACGGAGCCAGATAGGGGAAAGTCAGTGAGGCATTCAGAGACTAGAGAGCCCGTCAGCTGACTGACCGACTTCCCCATTGTTACATGGCTGCTGACTTATTGACCGAGGATCTCACGTGTAGCCTAGTTTCAGGCCTGTCTTTCACCATCATCCCAAGTGCAATGGCGTCACAGCAAAAGCTCGAGCCTATTACTCGTCATCTAAACGACTGCAGCAGGAGCAAAAGAAAAAGAAACGGAGGCCAATCAGCAGCAGTGTGCCTGGATCTCACCGATCCCACATTCCAATCTAAATCATATTTGTGACCAACAAAGGACACGTTGATGTACCAGGCTTCATTTTCACTGCAGTCAGCTGTGCCTGTGGGACCACTAGTCAGCAGATCACCATTCATTCTGGCAGCACACAGCTCTGCAGTGGTGATGTGGTCATGTTGAGCCCTGATAGCACCAGCGTATTTCTGCATCCAAGAGAATCTCCTGAGTGCAGCTACGTCTCCCCTGTCGAGATCACGTGTCAGCAAAATACCTTGTGTTCCTGCTAATGTGATAAGATCAAGCCATAGTGGGGCACGTTTCTGTAAATTGCATTAAAAACAGTGTGGGGTTGTGCATGTGCACAAGAATGTGTGTACAAATGTACTTTATGAAAGTGCATGTGTTTGTGTGAGAGCACAATGGCTTTCCCATGGGATGTGATGGATCCTTGCCAAGGAAATTCCAGTGAAAGTAACTTAACCCAAAACGCCACTGTATCCCTTGGCCTACTTTCTCTACCTCTCCAGGAGTAATCAAGAGAGCTACAGAGCTGTACACACTGATACTCCTTTACTGTTGATCAATTTGTTGGTATGTGATAATGATGATACAATATGTGGTCCAATAATGAAGCCTGAATAATTAAATATAATTGTGAATAATGATGACATCAAGCAGCAGCAAGGGAAGCTAAGGATTCTAAGGATCTAAGGATTTATGACACCAAAAAAAAAGATACAACGCAAGCACATTGCCAACAATAAGGTCAACCAAAGAAATACATTAAAAAGAAAACAGCAGCAACCATGAGGAGTCACAATCAAAGCCTAACAAATAGCAACCATGGATTTACACATTGCTTTACCTGTGAGCTAAACTGACTTAATCACTATGAAGAGTTAAATACCTTAAGGTCAAGTTGATTCATCAAATGCTCCCTACTGAATACAAACAAGTCGTACTAGCTAGCAGCTGCCTACCAGCTTTAGCTAGTGAAAGCCTGTCTCACCGAGCACATGAGAGAAGAAGCTCTCTTCAACTAACTTTCAGCATCAATGTAGCCTGTTTAAGATGTTCCTCATTATCCTCCATGTTTGGCATTAGGATGTCCTCCACCATGTTAGAATTAAGTAGCGTCACTTTTAATGGGATTTAAGTGGAGGATAGCGTTGTCACTGTCATACACTCTACCTTGTAAAACTGAAATGTATTGCATACATTTAAAATGAGCTCATAGCAGAATTATAACATACACAAAGGCACAAAAATATCTCTAAATAAATTCATGACAGATTAGTCCATACTTTTTCAATTGATTGATTGATTTGTATTACTTCATATTCAGCACTTCCACAGTATGGATATCTTGTACTGGCTAGCTCGGCAAATCAAATGTTCTTTATGAACACACAATGGCACATATGGATGCCTCAGGTATAAGTTCACCATTCACTATGCTAAGGTGAATGAATGAAGAAGGAAGTTGGTCTCCAGGGAGCTGTTCCCAGACACACAATAACAAATACAAACAACAGAAAAGTATGCCTGGTTCTCTCATGCCACGACTATTCCACTATAACAGCCAAGAAAGTAGCATTCATAGAGCAGCAGGCAGCGAGTGCTCGGTTTGCATGCTTGTCACCTTACATACCGAATCAAAATTTCAAAACCAAATGTGGACAATCTTTTTTGCCTGTACATCATTTCCCTGTAGAAATAATTACTGTAAATATTGTGATGTGTTTCATGAAGAATATAAACTAGAAGATAATGTGTGTTGGAAAAAAAAGTGATTCAGTCTCACAAACCCTTTGGATAAGCTTCTACAAGAAACCAGAGGAACAGATGTGCGCTCTAGCAGATAAGGCCTGACGCTAACCCACCACACAGCTAGATAGCATCTTAATAGGTCCAGGGTTGAAGAAAACACTAGGAACTAAACCAGAGGAGAAACCCAAATCCAGACCTCACTAACAGGCCTCTGAAGCATGGCCTCATTAAAAGACAACGTCTGGTTCAACGTCACTAATTAGGAGCTCGACTTCCAATCCAAATATTAGCTTTACGAGGTCACCTCTTTGACCTCTACAGGTCATCACTACCGAAGAACCTGGCACTGACACAGAAAAACACACACACACACAAACACGCCTCTATACGTGCACGTTTGATTCACAACCACAGCGCAGGCGGCCCTTGGTTTGCGTGTGTTTGTATACTTTGGAGCCTTTTACTCACGAGGTTGGGAGGTCTTTGGTTAACAAACAGCGATCAGTCACAGTCACAGAAATTACTTTTCCCAGAGCGTTGTTCGAGAGCAGATGTGGAAAACAATGGTCATTTCGGAGCTTGAGCTTGACATGCAAATGTTCCACAACAAACCACATTCCTGGAGCTGTCGGCATGACTAAGCACGAGTCATCTTCAGTCTCAAAAAAACAAACCGCTGTACAACATCAAGTCACGTTCACAAGAGCAACACATGTGGCTTTGAAAAACCACTTCACTTGTGGGGAATGTAGAGCACAGAGACAGTGTGATGTAAGATGAGAGAAAGAGAAATGCTATGTAGTGCAGTGTGGTGATCAGTACCTCTCTCACACTGAGCCCCGGTGAAGCCGTAAGTACACACACATCTGTTGGGAGCCACACACCGTCCTCCGTTCTGACAGCCATTTTCACAAACCGCTGCAGAAGAAGAGAGGTAAAAACAAACAATGACAAACAGCAACATGAGGGCATTACTGTGAGAACAAATTGGGATTCAGTATTTCTAGTTTATACAATTTGGGTCTCATGTTTGTCATCTTGGCAATCATTTATATTTGTTAGGAAAACATTTAAGTCACTAAATCCATTGCAGAGATCTGGGAACATAGTGACATTGTTAAAAAAAAAAAAAAAAAAGAAAAAGAAGTTGCAAAAAACAAGCAACCATCACTCAGCCGCAGACAAGTTAACAGTTTGAGCACAATCTGTCAACAGCTTTATTTCGATGTAAAACAAAAGTGAGCACACCCAAACTGCTGGAAAGGATCCTCCAATAAACAAGAAAACAGTGCACACACAACCATAGATAGTGTTTTTGGTTAGGGTTGAACAGGAAGTCTGTATGTGAAAGATGTTTAAAAGATTTTGAGTCATTATATTTCAGTTCGCCTTTGTTTGGGCTTCCAAACTAACCAGGAGGTTTTTGGTATCGTACCATTTAAACGCTCATGTTTCTTGCCCCATTGATGGCATTGTGAAGCAATCGAAAATGCCCCCCGAACCATCATAAATAAAAGCAAGAACGAGAGATTCAAAGACACGTTTTTTTCTCTGGGTCGAGTTTTTTCTCTCTCATTGGTTGTTTTGCACCATTACTTGGTGAGTTTTTGTCTTTTTGTGATAACTCTGTGCCTCATTTTGGTTGTTTTGTATTTTCTTGTAACTGTTGTGTCTCTTAGTAGTTCTGCATCTATTTCAAGTCGTTTCATATCTCTTTGAAAGTTTGATTGACTTCCCAACAGAAAAAGATAACGAGACTCTAAAAAACAGCTCCTACATTGAAGCACAAAGACTGCACTTTGGCACAGCAGCGCTAAATGCTAACATAAGCTTAGCATCATGCTCCCATTTACATGTTTAACCCTCAGGCATCAGTTTAATTTACTACCCTCTTAAGTCACTATGGAAATAAATGTCCATAATGATACGAGGGTCAATGTTAACATGTAGATGCAAACCATCATAGTTAAACCCGTAAGACTTCTAAACCTTTCCTTACTAGCACTAAACAGAAACTGTAAAAGACATTTTCAGAAATGTAGGCTTTTAAGCATATCTTTTTCTTCAGAAAATCTCAAACTTTGTGATTTAAGAAGTAAGTGTTGAAGTGAGTCACAGTGGTGACATTTCAGAATGATCCTTACGTTGACCGCAGTGGTTTCCCACGTAGCCTTTCTGACACAGGCAGTGGTCTTCAGCACACGATCCCCCGTTCATACAACGAATATTACAGTGTTGTACTGTGGGAAGAAAATACCAACACACACACACACACATAGAGACACACACAAACAACAAGCAACACTGGAGTTAAGTTCAGGGTACACAAACATGCACATCATATCAGATTTTAAACATGAACGGAATGCACTCTGAGCCGTGTTTCAGATATGTTTTCCTAGAAGTTTATGGTGCGCAAACAGATGAGCACATCAAGTAGAGGAGCAAGAGAGCAACATGGAAGCGTTTACTGTGGACATCTTCCAACATTCACACACACACGCATACAAACTCACAGTCACACACACAACAACCGATTAGATTGACCGCTATTTGCAGAAATGTGATTGCAACATATATCATCTGTTTGGATGATTTGAGGAGATTTTTGGCTAAGTATCTCATACTTTGCACCACTAGTTAGTGCTCATTACTCATGACGAGGAGAAGAAAAGTTGAGGAAAAATTAAAAACAGCACATTGTGGTCAGAGCTTAAAAGGTCTGAGTCATTTAGAGCCGATGTGACTTTTGTCTTAGAGTGGAAAAGAAATGACAGTATGGCCTATTTTGAGTCATGTATCACTGCTTGTCATTGTTGTTTCTGCATGCTGAAATGTTTCTTCTTAAGATTACAGATCCTTTATCAAATAAATGCAAAGAAAAAGATGAAGTCAAGGCTTCGCTTTCCAAAAAGCATTTAGTCTCGACAAACACTCCTTACATAAATCATACCATTGACGTGTTTATATGTTGGCCATGTACCAGCTAACCCCCACCCAATCTAAGCACACTGTACTATATAATGAAACCCATCATGCTGATGATAGGGAGCTTCAAAGGAGTTCATTCCCTGAGAAAAGAGGAGGTGCTGTATAATGACCTGACTTGGATCCACAGGATGAAGAGATCTGGCCGTTTGGGCAGGTGCACATGTTGGGTCTGGAGCAAAATCCATCTCCACATGTGCTCCGGCAGATTGCTGCAAAGAAGTAGAACATGACACCCGGTCAAACAACAGAAACACGTCCTCTGTCAGGTGCAAGATGGAATAACAGCACTTGTGTTGTTGCACCAGCATTTGTCTTGATTGTGCGTGGGAGAAAACTCATGTAATATATCTGTTGCTCCTCATGCTGCCAGCTGCAGATTTTGAATTTTAGGTTCAAATTTCATTTGGTACAACTTGGTCCATGATCTAAACCTCATACTGAACCCTCATCTGCAATATTTCAAATCTCAAACAGACCACAGTCCAAATATGGCCAATTCTTCCTTCTAACCCTCATCATGGGTTCATGGAAGAAGCTTGATTGGCAACAACACAGAGTCATTTTCTTCTTTGAGTTTTTTTTGCCATAGATGTGTACTAGTGCGTGTATTAAGATGGAGCAGGCTGTTTTTGCTCAGTTAATCTCTTTCCCACAGACCATTTTCCCCTTCCCCAACCTCCCATCAGGTAGAGACCAGCCACTGACCCCTACTCCCTGAACCCCACTGCTAAACAACGTCATTAAAGCCGTGACAGGCATCCGGCCAGCCGAACGGCCAGACTGCAATCACACACAACCCTACAGCCTCTCAGACCTTCCTGTCGACTGAGGGGAGAGAGAGAGAGAGAAGGAGAGAGAGCCAGAGAGAGCCAGAGAGAGGGAGAGAGAGCCAGAGAGCGAGAGAGAGCCAGAGAGGGAGAGAGAGCCAGAGAGAGAGAGAGAGAGCCAGAGAGAGCCAGAGAGAGAGAGAGAGCCAGAGAGCCAGAGAGAGAGCGAGAGGGAGAGAGAGAGAGAGAGAGAGAGAGAGAGAGGGAGAGAGGGAGAGCAGGAGAGAGAAGGAGGGAGAGAGAGAGAGAGAGAGGGAGAGAGGGAGAGCGAGAGAGAAGGAGGGAGAGAAAGAGTGAAGAGTGAAGAGTGAAGAAAATAAACAGTAAAATAAATCACAGCCAGAATACCAGAGTAAATGGACCAAACTTAATCACCTATCCCAATTGTTTCAGGTCATGTTACCGGCTTATCACCTACCATTAGCCACACTAACCCATCTCTTGTGAAAATGATTGAGTCAATTCAAAGGAGATATTTTGTAAGTGTCTGTGTAAAATGCTATAAGTAAGTCAATAATTCGGAAAATGGAAAATCATTACACATAAAAGCTTTTGCAAACATGTATTGAAAAGACAGATGAGTCCAAGAACACGAGCATTTAACAGTTTGCATCATTTGTGAACTTTAACAGTTTACATCGTTTTTTAATATATGTACTGAAATGTTTAAGGTTATTGATATTGCAACCAAATAAGAATTATTACATCAACCAAGGAGGTTACTTTTGGCGTTGTCTAGTGTTTTTCTAGCCTGATTATGGTAAAAGTAATGGCCCATTTCAAATGTAACTTTGTTGATGGTACAGCATAGACCATTGAAGAAATCTATACATTTGAAAAAGATCCTGATCAGACTCACTTTTTGCAAGTCATCAATTAAAATTAAATTAATAATAATTTCATTCATGCTACTGATTGGATAATGTTCAAGAGAGCTAACTTTCTGCTTTTGGTTAGCCTGATGGGTTTCTCTACAACAAGTGTCAGGAGGTTTCAACAAGTTTGCATCCTTGGCGTATTGTTGGGTTTGGGTAGCTCCGATACAAACGTCAGGAGGATTGGTGAAAAACTACTACTAAAACTTAACAACAGTAGTGGAATAATAGAGGTGATACTCACGAACAATGCACTGGTTCCCTCCAGTCAGAGTCTTCCAGCCTGGGCAGCAGTAGGCGTTGTTCCTTGAGCCACAAACATTTGGTCTGTGAATGATGGAGAATCAGAAAGTCAATAATCTGAGTTACACAGTTCGCTTAATTCTCAATTAGGTCTATTTTAAAAATATTTACCTTTTCAGGCTTGAGCTATTGGGCTTTAAGATATGTAAAGATTTGTACAAGACATAACTTCCTCTTTCCATAGACCTGAGATGGTTCTACAAACTTAGACCTGATCCACAAACTGCAGGATGTGCACTTAAGAGTCCTCCAATGTAACCAAGTCAATTTACTCGAGTACTGTGGTGAAGTATACATTTTTAGGTAGGCTTGCACTTTGTAAGTCTCTTGAAGACTCAAAGGAAAAATTTCCTTTTTTTTCCACAGCACGTGTCTGCTAGCTTTAGCTACTGGCTATGTTACAGATCAAGAAAACTATTTGGCCATATTCTGATCGAGTGTTTCATAGTAACAGCCTCTCAAATATGAGGAGTTCCTGCTCTGTTCTTTATTTATTTTGATTATTTATTTAACCTTTATTTTACCAGGCAGAAATGCTTGAGATCAAATGACCTCTTTTTTGAGCAAGGCCTGGCCAAAATGGCAGCAGCAAAAAAGAAATATAAGACAAGCCCAAAAAGAAAGCACAGACATGACAAAAAGAGACAAATACAGTCCAGAAGGTGAAGAAGAAGTAGAAGAACGACGAGGAGGAGAAGGAGGACAAGAATTTAAGTATTAAAAATATTTGTAATGCTTTCTAGGTTTGGACAGTTGGTTGGAAAAAATAAGCCGTGTGATTATTCCTTTAACCTCTTTTATTGAAATTGCCTATTTAATTTTTTTCTGATTTTTACAAACCAAACTGTTGATATGTCATTAAACGACCAATTGATGGATTGACCCGTTGGGTAGCCAGTAGTTTAATCAATAATAAACTGCATTTTTTTAAATTGTTGTCCTATACAAAATACTTGAAAATGGGTACCATCGTAATCCAATACAACTGGAAAGTCTTGCTTTTACATTAATCCATGAAAAAATTCAATATAAGCCATGACCCGTTAAATTAAGAGGCATAATACTTAACAGTAAAGCAGTCACATGAGACCTTTATCTGCACTGAGGACTTTTCCTTTGTATACTGTAAGTAACATTTCTCCAATTCCACTCAGGTACTTTGATTTGAATAAAATATCAGCAGACATCGAACTTTAATGGAGTATATAAACAGTTTTACATCTTGCAGTTATCTTGCACACACAGGCATTTGGAGCTTCGCTATACAATATTTTTCCTTTTGCTAGGAAAAAATGTCACTGTTCAAGGTGATTTAAGGAATGTGCAGCACCTGTATAAAATATGAATGTGGCATTAGAGTGAACCCTGGGCCATCCTGCCCCCTACAGGTCTATGACAGGCCTACATGACTGGTAAATCGCCTGCTGGGCTTGTACTGGCCCTGGGGTCAGAATATATACTGCACACAGTAACTCCACATCCACATCCATGAGGTGAAAAATGAAGCCTGTCGGATTTCTGAAACATTCTTATTGTGGTAAGTCAGCGTGACACAGTGTGCAGCCTGTATGCACTTCCTGCCCGTGAAGCCAGATGTTCTGATAAATTAACTTAAAGCATGTCAAATAAAAATGCCTGTGGAGAACGCTCATTGAGCTGTCTACTGTGTGACCCTCATCAGCTGTTTGCTGTCATCACTGGACACAGACACTCGTTCTATCCTTTTCCTCCACCCTCTTTCTCTCTCAATCACTTTTTAACATTCACACACACACACACATACACACACAACCTCTCCAGCAGTGACCCACTGTGTACAGCTGCAGATGTGATTTATCCACAACTGGGGTGTGGTGTTTTTGGCCAGAAAGGGGATTAAGCTGTTTCTCTCTCTCTCTCTCTCTCTCTCTCTCTCTCTCTCTCTCTCTCTCTTTCTCTGCCCCAGCCACACACGACCAATGGCCTCCTTTGTTTGGATGTAATTTATTGTTGCAGTCAGCAGGAATGTGATAGTCTTGCCAGTATTTAATTACCAAACTTCGCTGCAAACTTCCCATCATAGACAATGCCACTCATGGCACTCAGTCAGCCAGATTAATAAAACACAAGCAAAAGTTTTTAATCTTAAATTAAGACTGTCAAACACCTGCTCTGAGCCACTTGAATTAAAACACACAGAAATATGTTCTTTTTAATCACAGCAGTGGGCGTCCAGATATAAAATAAAATAAATGAATCCTAAATTGAACTAATGTGGATTACTATGTTCACATTACCCTCTGAGGACGTCTGACCCTCCTCTCCTCTTGGCCCTGCTGGCTCTGGAGTCGGTCTGCTTGGTCACCAGCTCGCTGTCCCCGGTCTCCAGCACTTCTGCAAAGTCTCCAAGCTCGGCGCAGAGCGACAGCAAGGCCACCAGAGCCACGGCCAACTGCAGCAGCCGTCCTCTACTCTTCCTGTCCGGCATATTATCCGATCTCAAGTGCAGAAGTCCAGTACTCGGGAGAGTAAAAGTCTCCTAAACTAGTTTCCCAACCCTGTCGACCTCTGCAGTCTGGAGTCAAAGCTGCAAACCAAAATTATAACAAACAAAATTAAATTTAAAAAAAGCCGCAGAGAAGAGCGCAGGAGATGCGTCTGCGCACAAAAGAAAAATAACTATACGCGTTGAAATGTAGCTGGTAGGATATGACTTTTACCAATTAAAAGTTAGAAAATAACTTAACTTTCAATCGCAGAAAAAAAGCATTGTGAAAAATGAGCAAAATTGCGCACTAAGCGGTTACTTTACCTTGTCTCCCGAACAGGAGATTCGCCTGAGACCCGACAGAGGACTGCTTCTCTTTTTCTTGCAGGTATTGCTGGATAAACGTTTAGGAGCAAACTTCGAAGACGAAGAAGAAGAAGAAGAAGAAGAAAAGTAGAAGAAAAGTCACTCAAATATTTCGCTGAGCTGCTATAAATAGATGCGCATGGTAACTTTTGGAGTCTGCTCGTGCGCATCCAGTCGTGTGTTGACTTTGCACAGATAAGTTACAGGAGCTGATGCATTCCAGAGGATGAGAAGAGCAAAACTAAGCGTGTCTCTCTCTCTCTCCCTCTCTGCACAGCTCTTCCCTCATCCCTGCTCTGCTCAACTTACACCAAAACTGTTTTTTCTTTCCTTTCCCTGCTCTCGCGATACAAAAGCCTGAGTGCAAGAATGCACAAGTTAAGTCCAGGACCAGCTTTTACTTTTTACTGTTAGCTACAGAAATGTTTACTTCTAACTCAAAAGGCCTGAGAGAGAGACACAGAGTTTTGTATTCACAAACTGTCATGATTTGGTCTGTTTAGTTTTGTTTTTCACAGTTTAGATGTATTTATCTTTTAGTTCTCATTCTTCCCTGGTGTTTCCCTTGCATGTTTTCTAGTTTAGTCTTCAGTGTTTCGAGTGTTATTTTGGTAACTTTGTAAGTAGTTGTTGTGTTTACAAATGCAATACTTGTAATGTTCGTTCGGCATACTTTGAGTGTAGTTAAACCTTCAGTCTGCTAGGGGGTGCAGTGAGACACCGTGGAGGATAGGTGAGACAATTAAAGCTGGGTACACACTACAAGATAATCGGGCCGATTTTGGGCCCGATTCCCCCCTTTCCGACCAAAGTCAGCAAAGGCCCGTCTAACTGATGTTCCAAAGATTATCTTGCCAGATTCTCCTGTGGTGTGAGGTGTGTTAAGAGTAATTTTAACCTCCCCGATCTGTTCGGGCCGCCCCGATTTGAAATCGTAAATATTAAACTTGTTCAACATTTACGATCAGAAATCCTGTGGTGTGGGGAGAACACAGAGGACGGCCGAGCACGGACTCTGTGAATTGTCACGTGGAACGGAACAATAGCCAATAGGGAAGCAAGCTGACTGAAGCAAGAAGCACAGCAAACATTTCAATGGCGACTACAGCAATCGCGAAGCATAAAGTTAAATGGATGTCATGAATTCAGGACCGACTTGTTGATTTGTGGCAACAACACGAGTTATATTACAACATGTCCTGTAAAACAAACCACAATCCAACTGACAAGGAAAGGAGTTTGACCAAAATGTTTACCGTAATGGATGTACCAGCTAACAGCTAGCCACATTTAGCTTGCTCGTCATGTTTGTTTACTCTTAAATCGCGTCTAACCACGCAAGATTACACGTTGTGATAGTCGAGACCCTGGTTGTCGGCGATTGAATTGGTTAGTGTGTGGTTTGCTGAGTTGATCGTCTCGTTGCACACCACACACTATGCAATCTGAACTGTTAATCGGTCATGATTGTTGTAATGTGTGTCTCACTTTATCAAAATCATTTAAGAATTTAAAAATTGTGTAGTGTGTACCAGGTTTAAGGTAAAGGACAGAAGAATAGCTGTATGCAGGATTGAGTGTGACACACATGTAGAGACAAGCAGTGAATAAACAACCGTAACAGTTCGTCATCTCCCTTGCCTGACTCACCAACATAGCAATTGGCGACGAGGATGAGCGTTTCTGTGCCGTGCCCACCGTCCTTCCTGCAGCACGTTGGTGAGCCGCCATTACCTTTTGAAACATGGCGGAAAATCTTCAACAACTACATGCTAGTGATAAACGCAAAAGGAGACATGTGGCCCGATGCACGACGCCGTGCAGTGCTTCTACATTGTTTGGGCCGGGAGGGACAACGGTTATTCTACACACTACCAGAACAAGGTACTACAATTGATGAAGCCATGACGGCTCTTGAGAAGCACTTTGTCCCGAAAGTGAATGTGTTAGCATGCAGACACACATTCAGACAGCGTCTTCAGAGAGCTGATGAAACCGTGACCCAGCTCGTGGCTGCTTTGAGAGCTTTGGCTGCGCCATGTGGCTTTGGACAGATGGAAGGTGAGCTGACTCGAGACCAGCTCATATCCAATGCTTATCTCAGTGCTGTTAAAGATAAATTACTGGAAGGAGGAAGGAGGAAAATCAAACACTGGACAAAGCCCTGATGATCTTGTGTTAAGTTGAAGCAGCGGTTAAAAATTCCACACTGCTTTCCTCAACACATGCGACACCTGCATCGTCTGTATAAGCTGTCGACTTTACAAATACATGTTTTTAAGGCAAAAGAGGAACCCGACCAGTTAAAGCACATACTTTTGGACAACCACAAGGCCATCAGAAACAGGCAAGTGGTAGCCAGCACCCACGGAATTGCTTTAGCTGTGGCTCGAATAAGCACTTGGCTAATGATAAAAGCTGTCCAGCTACACATGTTAAATGCAATAACAGTACAAAGAAGGGACATTTCGGCAAGGTTTGCAAATCTGCAGTCATTGAAGTGAGATAAACGATGGTTCCAGAGTTAGCTGCAGTACTCTGTGTTGATGATGTAGAGCTTGCAGCTACAGCTTATGACAAAATTACTTGCCATATCAACATTGAAGCACCAGAGGGAAAGGAGCAGGTCCTCAAGCTAATTGTGGATACTGGAGCTTCTGTGTCGATCCTGCCAGAATCAATGTACCTGCAGCACTTTGCGACATACCCACTCACAGAACCAAAGGTGAAACTAGTCACTTAAGCAAAAGGTGACTTACCTGTCATTGGCTGTCTATCTGCAGAAGCTGCTCTTGTAAATCAAGCAACAAAAGTACCAGCCTTCTTTTATACAGTTAAGCTAGATCACCTTTGCTGGGACTTGATCTGATTAAAGGGCTTAAGATCAGCATCATTGATGGTAAAATACACTACAACAGTGAAGATGATGCAAAACTACCTCCTGCTGTCCACCAAAAAAGTGCAGTTTTCAATGTCAGTTCTGCTCCAGACCAGCTTACATGTGTAAAAGGGTTCAGCCACAAGGTACAAGTGAACATTACAGTACAACATGTTCGCCAAAAATTAAGACATCTACCACTGAGCATACTCAAAGAAGTGTCTGCAGAGCCCCAACGCTTACTCCAAGCAGGCATCATAGAGCCAGTGAATGCAGCTGAATGCGTGAGTCCCCTGGTAGTTGCACAAAAACGCAAAGGAGGACTTAGGCTGTGTGTTGATCTCCTAAGGCCTAACAAGAGTGTGATTATGGACTGTCACCCTCTACCTCATATGGAGGATTTGTTCGCAGAGTTGACTGGTGCTACACACTACAGTCAGATCGATTTAAGCTCAGCCTACCATCAACTACCACTACATCCTGAAAGTCGTAGTTTAACAGCTTTCATAACTCATGATGGACTTTTCCAGTTCACACATGTTCCTTTTGGCTTGGCATCAGCACCTTCTGCCTCCCAGAAAATGATGCAAACAATCCTGAAGGATCTTCCAGGAGTACAAAACTACCTGGATGACATCATAGTGCATGGTGAGTCCAAGGACATGCACGATTAACATCTGTAAAGAGGGTCTACTTCTAAGCCCAGATCACCTGACTGCCATCGCTGAGGCTTCAGCACCAAAAGACATGGCAGCACTACGCTCATTCCTTGGCTTGACCTCCTGGTTCAGCAAGTTTCTGTCAAACTATGCTACAGCTGTTGAGCCTCTGCGACAACTGCTTCGAACAAACAGTCAGGCTGAACTTCAATGGACTGATGAAGCAGACAAGAGCTTCACCAAGCCTAAAACAATACTACTGAAAAGCCCAGTACTTGCCATCTACAATGCTTAGGACAACGGGTTGGAAGCCGTCCAGACACAGCTGCACACAGACAATGTGGAACGCATTGATGCCTTCGCTTCCTGCACCCTGTCAGCAGCTGAAAGGAAGTACTTGACGGTTGAAAAAGAGGCCTTAGCCTGTGTATGGGCTGTCGAGAGATGGAGAACTTGTGTGTGGGGATACAGATTCACACTCAGAACTGACCATCAAGCTCTTACCACTCTACTCAGCACTGAAGGTATGAACAGAGCTGGCATGAGAGTTGTACGTTGGTCAGCCAAGCTGATGTGTTACCAGTATGACCTGCAGTACCGCCCAGGTAGTCAGAATGTCATGGCAGACTGCCTCTCCCGTGTTCCCCTCAACCACTTCAGCACTGCAAGTGATCCTGAACAGGACTTGATAACAGAGATAGCTGAAATCTCTCCTGTCCTGACTGCACTGTCTATTTCAGATTTAAAAGCTGAATGTGAGGACTGCTCTAAACTCATACAGCTTCGACAGACCATACAGTCTGGCTGGCCACGAACGAAAAAGTGTCTTTCTGCTGAGGTACAGACCTACTTCCCTGTGAGACATGAGCTTGCTGTTGAGTCACCACTCATCTTCCGTGCAACACGTCTGGTGGCCTCAAAGTCCCTGCGAGAGACCATTGTGCCCCTTGCTCATGAAGGACATCAGGGCTTGGTTCGAACAAAACAGCGCCTCAGGGAGCTATACTGGTGGCCACGCATGGATCCTGTCATCATGTACAACCTGTCAGATATGTGACCAAACAGCCAGCACTTCTCCTGCCCCATTACAACCTGTTGAGTTTCCACATGGT